TTCTCTGAAGAGCCTAAAATAAATCTGATAATTCTGGATCATATTTTGACAGGTTGCACATCAACATATCAATCATGCATTCACTGGATATGTCAGCTGACATACAGTAGCTTACTACCATGATTCAACATTTAAGAAAGTAAGCAGTTCGTTGGACGATGTATACCATGCGTATCCCGTACATACAACTAATACATCTTGAAAACCTTACTTGGCACTGGAAGAAATTAATGTAAAGTAACTGTCCATTTAAAAAAAAAATATATTGTTGTATATTATTGTTAGAGGAAAACAGTTACATTTACCACAATATTACTTTTTGTCCATGTCACCCAGCTCTAGCACCTCCCCAAAAAAGTTTAGTCGCAATTTATAGCTATCGCAAAACATGGGTCAATTTATGACGATATGGATATGTTTACAACACCCAGCTCTGCTAGTGTCAAAGGCTGCTTCCAATGTAAAAACCAACTAGTGCTGAGCGACTAAGCAAAATGACAGTTATTTTTCCGTTTTTAAACAACTAATTGACAGACATTGGTTCAACTATTTGAATTCCATTCCTTTCATATTTTTTTGGTGAGCTCAATGGCACATTGCACTGCAGTTTCTCTAGAGGCAAATCAGATCATGCCCGAACTGTGCGATGTAGTAGGGAGTTGTAGTTTCCAACAGGCCAATATTCAACATAATTAACACGTTTTCTGCGATAAACTAACTACAATGACCATAATCCATTGTGCGGCTACTTGTCCGGTCTGTGTATCTTTTACACCTGCCACATAAGACACAGAAGAATGTGTGATCAAGAGGGGATACATAGAGCGCAGTTGCTTCTTGAGGTTTTGGTACGCAGCAGTTCAAAGTCTGCCTTATTTACTTTGAAGAACTACTAAAATAGAGATTTAGTCAGGCAGCAGCTCTACAGATGAGATAAATCCTTGGAATTAAATAATAAAGTCAATAAATAAAACAAATGCTTTCTTAAAGTAAAGTAATGTCAAGTGATGATTAATAAGTGATGAGCAGCAATGGGCAGTCGCTACCATCATTTATTAATTGTTTTATTCTGTGTTACAAAATTCACCCCATATAATGCAGTGCATTTAATGTTATTTTAATTATCGAAACCTTTATAAAAAATATATAATCGAACCGACCTCAAAAAGCACTAATTGCTCAGCTCTAAAACCAACTAAAGTGATACAATGTAGAAAACAGTCAACATTTCGGGACCTTTCGATAAATTCCCTGGTTTTCCCTTAATCACGGTTGGAGGACTCTGGGAAGGAGACGATTGTGGACTACAGAAAAAAAGAGGACTGAGCACGCCCCCATTCTCATCGACGGGGCTGTAGTGGAACAGGTTGAGAGCTTCAAGTTCCTTGGTGTCCACATCGCCAACAAACTATCATGGTCCAAACACACCAAGACAGTCGTGAAGAGGGCACGACAAAGCCTATTCCCCCTCAGGAGACTGAAAAGATTTGGCATGGGTCCTCAGATCCTCAAAATGTTCTACAGCTGCACCATCGAGAGCATCCTGACTGGTTGCATTACCACCTGGTATGGCAACTGCTTGGCCTCCGACCGCAAGGCACTACAGAGGGTAGTGTGTACGGCCCAGTACATCACTGGGGCCAAGCTTCCTGCCATCCAGGACCTCTATACCAGGCGATGTCAGAGGAAGGCCCTAAAAATTGTCAAAGACTCCAGCCACCCTAGTCATAGAATGTTCTCTCTGCTACCGCACGGCAAGCGGTAATGGAGCGCCAAGTCTAGGTCCAAAAGGCTTCTAAACAGCTTCTACCCCCAAGCCATAAGACTCCTGAACATCTAATCAAATGGCTACCCGGACTATTTGCATTGTCCCCCCCCCTCTTTTATGCTGCTGCTACTCTCTGTTTATTATCTATGCATAGTCACTTTAATAACTCTACCTACATGTACATATTACCTCAATTACCTTGACTAACCTTGTTGGTTAAGGGCTTGTAAGTAAGCATTTCACTGTAAGGTCTACAGTAATGGAACTGAGAGTCATGATTAAGGGCTAGGTTTAAGGTAGGGACTAGGCTTGCGAAATTCCGGTAATTTTGTAATACTGTTGTGTTCGGCGCATGTGACAAATAAAATTTGATTTTAATCAGGAGTGAATAAGCTGGAAATCCGAAATCCTCCAACCAGGATTTGGGGAAAACCAAGCATTTTGGGAATCAAGCAGTGCGTCATGCAAAGTTGGTGAAGACGAATGTTGTGAATGGACAACAGTAGTGTCAACAACTGGAACAAACAGGAAACTGCCTAAAATTAGAGTGGAGGATACATCTATGAATGATAATGAATCGCTTCTTGTTGGGATGCATTTGTTGAGTAAGGACGCATATGTGGGAAACACGTTTGAGGTGTAGAAAATGGTGAAGTATGCAAGTGGAGTCTATCAGAGTGACCAGGAGTCTTATTTTGATTCACTGTATTTCTGAAGAAAAGAGGAAGATTGCAGTGAGCTTCAAAAGAAATCAGAACAACAGAAGCTGTGTTTTCAACTTTGGAAAAGAGCACCCGTCAAAGGAGACATCTCAGGGGTGACGACGGATGTTCAGGTTGAATACCTGAAGAGAATTCCTGGTGTGGTTGGTGCTCGGCGTCAAACCCGATGTGAAGCTTGGTGATGTAAGATACGCTGTGAGAGCTTTCCTCCCCAAACCATTGCAGTGGAAGAATTGTAAAGGATTTGGCCATGTTTCAAGTGTGTGCAGACGGACAGAGTATATTGAAAAACGGTGTGTAGAAAGACGAACGGTGTTGCAATTGTGGTAGGGGATCATGATCCCGACTTCCTGGAGTGCCCTGAAAGGGTTAAGGAGATTGAGGTGGCAAAAGTTAGAGTGGTCAATCGAATCTCCTATGCAGAGGCGATTAAAATAATTGAGAAAACAAGTGATTCTAGTGAAGATATGGTAGTGGACGCACCACAGCCTGTAGTAAATGTTTGCTGCCAGCCAAAAGATACCCTGTGTGGTAAAAACTTGGATTTTGTGGCGTTCATTGCCACAGTTATAAACTGTACAGCACAAGTTGAAATAAAACAATTATATATATATATATATATATATATATATATATATATATATATATATATATAATAATACAAACGAACTGACATTATTGTGCCAGAAATACGTGTTTGGGACTTAAGGATTTTACATCTGAAGACTTGCAAGGGGTACTGGCGCCAGAAGACCCGCCCTCCCAGGTTCCCCTTGAGCCTGTGTAGAGATCAGATCCGTTAGATTTTTTAACAGAAACGTTTTTGGGGGTATTTTGTTCCATTTTTGGGAATCCTGTTTCCATCCCGCGCAGTAGGTGGCGGAATGCACATAAAGTGGTGCGATCGCCAATATACCATAGAAGAAGAGCAGAACCGCTCAGTCTGTACATTAACACGCATAGCTTGCGGTAGGGTTTTGGAAGAATAAGGACCATATCCTTCATATCAGCTCGAAGTATTTTTACAAAAACAAAAAGGTTCAATTGATACACACCTTTATAGAGTTTGGGTTCCCACAACGCCATATTTCCATGTTTACCTAATCAGATGGAAGACAGAGTGGAATACTTGTGCTAATTAGCCATCTGCGTTTCCGGACACATGTTTGTAAACGGAAGACAGACGCTTGATATGAAAGTAAAGGGATTTATGTTTCTAGAACCATAAATTACCGCTATTGAGAATCGATTCATGTTTAGATGGAGTATTTGGCTGTTTTGGCTTCCAGAGCCAATTCGCCTTTTAAACAGAACATGTAAGGTCCTTGGACTAATTAGTAACGTTAGGCTCCTTTAGTATAATATTGGGTTACCCTAAACCCTAACATTTAAACTTCAATGGGGCAAGGAAGTCCCAAGGACCCCGGGTAGTAAGGGGCAGGGAAGTCCCAAGGACCCCGGGTAGTAAGGGGCAGGGAAGTCCCAAGGACCCCGGGTAGTAAGGGGCAGGGAAGTCCCAAGGACCCCGGGTAGTAAGGGGCAGGGAAGTCCCAAGGACCCCGGGTAGTAAGGGGCAGGGAAGTCCCAAGGACCCCGGGTAGTAAGGGGCAGGGAAGTCCCAAGGACCCCGGGTAGTAAGGGGCAGGGAAGTCCCAAGGACCCCGGGTAGTAAGGGGCAGGGAAGTCCCAAGGACCCCGGGTAGTAAGGGGCAGGAAGTCCCAAGGACCCCGGGTAGTAAGGGGCAAGGAAGTCCCAAGGACCCCGGGTAGTAAGGGGCAGGGAAGTCCCAAGGACCCCGGGTAGTAAGGGGCAGGGAAGTCCCAAGGACCCCGGGTAGTAAGGATCACAAACAGTCATACCCGCTCAGTGATGACGTTACATTAGTTGAGACATTCCTAGCTAACTAAGCTAGTGGTAACGTTAGTTAGCTGCCTGGCTAGTTTTCCCTTAGGACAGTAACGTTAGCTACACTATGGGTCTGCGAAATCTATTTTATAGACAACAACCGATAATCGACTTCATGAGATTGCCGTTGGTGGCTAGCAGCAGGCTAACATAGTGGTTTAATAACTACTGTCATTCAAGGCTATATGGGGCCCGGAGGCAGGCGAGGACGAGGCTATGTAGCATCCGCTGTTCAAATTGGCTGACTTTGCCAAAGCCAACATGGTTAACTAACCCTGCTAGCCAGTTAACTAACTAACCCTGCTAGCCAGTTAGCCCGGCAGGAGTCCCTGTCAACCAGGCTTGAGGCTAACTGACATACCAGGGGCTGGCTAGCCGAGTCAATTTAGCAAACTAGCTAGCTAACTACCAGTTTGGCTAATTAGCAAACTAACGTTAGCTAGCTTAAGCCATCTGCTGATGCTAGCTACCTAACTAACTAGCTTGTGGCTTAGCGAACATCCGCTTGGTTAGCCAGCCAACGACGCAGACAAAACTGGACCTGAAAACTCACATTACATTCGCAGTACTTAGCTACTAAGCTATAACGTGGGTAAATCGGTAGCTAGTCGGCGGGGGTGGCTAACGTCAGGTTCTCTCTAGCAGCTGCTAACGTTAGCGATGTAAACTTACGAAGCTGGTCGATCCTCGTCGTGTTGGATTCGCTCAGAGCTTTCCGTCCAGCTTTCTTCTCCCCGGGATTTTTCCCGGCGGTGCCCGGTTTCTTACTTTTTTTCACGACTTCCCACTTTCCAACCTGAGCGTTATTTGACGCCATTATCTCGAGCTTACAGTCCTGAGGGGAAGAGAGTCGTCCTGCCCGGTAAAGAGCGTGCTGCTGGTCCTAGTGTTCCCGGTGCCACGTCTCCTTGCCCGTGTGACGTCACACCACCGATGCTTTTTGAAAGCTCTGTGCTCGGTCCGTTGTCTTTATAGGGTTAGGGTCGTTATAGTTGTCTTTTTAGGGTTAGGGTCGTTATAGTTGTCTTTATAGGGTTAGGGTCGTTATAGTTGTCTTTTTAGGGTTAGGGTCGTTATAGTTGTCTTTATAGGGTTAGGGTCGTTATAGTTGTCTTTTTAGGGTTAGGGTCGTTATAGTTTGTCTTTATAGGGTTAGGGTCGTTATAGTTGTCTTTTTAGGGTTAGGGTCGTTATAGTTGTCTTTTTAGGGTTAGGGTCGTTATAGTTGTCTTTTTAGGGTTAGGGTCGTTATAGTTGTCTTTTTAGGGTTAGGGTCGTTATAGTTGTCTTTTTAGGGTTAGGGTCGTTATAGTTGTCTTTTTAGGTTAGGGTCGTTATAGTTGTCTTTTAGGGTTAGGGTCGTTATAGTTGTCTTTTTAGGGTTAGGGTCGTTATAGTTGTCTTTTTAGGGTTAGGGTCGTTATAGTTGTCTTTTTAGGGTTAGGCGTATAGTTGCTTTTTGGTTAGGTCTAAGTTGTCTTTTTAGGGTTAGGGTCGTTATAGTTGTCTTTTTAGGGTTAGGGTCGTTATAGTTTGGGGGTGTCTTTTTAGGGTTAGGGTCGTTATAGTTGTCTTTTTTAGGGTTAGGGTCGTTATAGTTGTCTTTTTAGGGTTAGGGTCGTTATAGTTGTCTTTTAGGGTTAGGGTCGTTATAGTTGTCTTTTTAGGGTTAGGGTCGTTATAGTTGTCTTTTTAGGGTTAGGGTCGTTATAGTTGTCTTTTTAGGGTTAGGGTCGTTATAGTTGTCTTTATAGGGTTAGGGTCGTTATAGTTGTCTTTTTAGGGTTAGGGTCGTTATAGTTGTCTTTTTAGGGTTAGGGTCGTTATAGTTGTCTTTATAGGGTTAGGGTCGTTATAGTTGTCTTTTTAGGGTTAGGGTCGTTATAGTTGTCTTTTAGGGTTAGGGTCGTTATAGTTGTCTTTTTAGGGTTAGGGTCGTTATAGTTGTCTTTATAGGGTTAGGGTCGTTATAGTTGTCTTTATAGGGTTAGGGTCGTTATAGTTGTCTTTTTAGGGTTAGGGTCGTTATAGTTGTCTTTTTAGGGTTAGGGTCGTTATAGTTGTCTTTATAGTAAGGAAGAACAGTTCCAATCAGATAGATACACTGAATGGTATGCATAACACAGGTACGCCACATTTTTCGGGACACTTTTAAAGTGTTTTGGATCTACATGTTGCTTAGCACAGCCCCAGTACAATGTAACACAATGTAAATCAAATTGTATTAGTCGCGTACACATTTTTTGCAGGTTCAGCGAAATGCTTATGTTTCTAGCTCCAACAGTGCAGTAATACCTAACAATACAACACGCACAAATCCAAAAAATTAAGGAAATAAGAAATATCAGAACGAGCAATGTCAGAATCCGGAATATAAGTATATACAGTATGGATATGATGGTGTGTATTGACAGTATACAGCAGTAGTTAAATAGAATGAGCCTTGACTAGAATACAGTATATACACCGAGTGTACAACACATTAAGAACACATGCTATTTCCATGAAAGACTGACAAGGTGAATCCAGGTGAAAGCTATAATCCCTTATTAATGTCAAAGACTCCAGCCACCCTAGTCATAGACTGTTCTCTCTGCTACCGCACGGCAAGCGGTAATGGAGTGCCAAGTCTAGGTCCAAAAGACTTCTCAACAGCTTCTACCCCCAAGCCATAAGACTCCTGAACAGCTAATCATGGCTACCCGGACTATTTGCACTGCCCCCCCCCCCCCCCCCCCCCCCCCCCCACCCTATCTTTTTACGCTGCTGCTACTCTTAATTATTTATGCATAGTCACTTTAACTCTACCCACATGTACATATTACCTCAACTACCTCAACTAGCCGGTGCCCCCGCACATTGACTCTGCACCGGTACCCCCCTGTATATATAGCCTCCCTACTGTTATTTAATTTGACTTTTGCTCTTTTTTTCTCAATACTTTTTTGTTGTTGTTTTATTTTACTTTTTTATTAAAAATAAATGCACTGTTGGTTAAGGGCTGAAAGTAAGCATTTCACTGTAATGTCTGCACCTGTTGTATTCGGCGCATGTGGCCAATAAAATTTGATTTGATTTGATTTGTTAAATCCACTTCAATCAGTGTAGATGAAGGGGAGGAGACAGATTAAAGAAGGATTTTTAAGCCTTGAGACAATTGAGACATGGATTGTGTATGTGTGCCATTCAGAGGGTGAATGGGCAAGACAAAATATTGAAGTGCCTTTGAACGGGGTATGGTAGTATTTATATTTGAACAGGGAAGACATATTGAGACCTATGTCTCTTTTTCAAATGTGCCCTGTATAATACAACACAATATACAGCATATGTATATATACATATACACCAAATGCTTGTGCTTCTAGTTAGTGTGCAGGAGTACCAGTACTGAGTCAATGTGCAGGAGTACCAGTACTGAGTCAATGTGCTGGAGTACCAGTACTGAGTCAATGTGCAGGAGTACCAGTACTGAGTCAATGTGCAGGAGTACCAGTACTGAGTCAATGTGCAGGAGTACCAGTACTGAGTCAATGTGCTGGAGTACCAGTACTGAGTCAATGTGCAGGAGTACCAGGACTGAGTCAATGTGCTGGAGTACCAGTACTGAGTCAATGTGCAGGAGTACCAGTACTGAGTCAATGTGCAGGAGTACCAGTACTGAGTCAATGTGCTGGAGTACCAGTACTGAGTCAATGTGCTGGAGTACCAGTACTGAGTCAATGTGCAGGAGTACCAGTACTGAGTCCATGTGCAGGGGTACCAGTACTGAGTAAATGTGCAGGAGTACCAGTACCGAGTCAATATGCAGGGGTACCAGTACTAAGTAAATTAGCAGGGGTACCAGGTAGTAATGAGGCTATTTACAAGGAGTACCAGTACTGAGTCAATGTGCATGTCACGAGCTGATGTGGATGTGGTGTTGGAGTCAGGCGCAGGACACAGAAGCTTAGTCCAACAGACGACAAAACACGACAATACGAAAATAACGGGCCTCAACACAACGGAGGCGAGCGATTACGCAAACTGTGCGTCAATACACAAAATACAAGTGATTACGCAATACAGTGCGTCAATACACTAAATACACGAGCAAATACACATCACCAACGGACAGGAGGACAACAACACACAACTACAAACAAAACCAAAGGAAACTTATAGGTGACATAATCAATACGTGATATGGAACAGGTGCACTAATCAGACAAAACCAAACAAACATAGATAACATCAAACGGTAGCAGCTAGTACTCCGGGGACGACGAACGCCGAAGCCTGCCCGAACAAGGAGGAGGAGCAGTCTCGGCGGAATTCGTGACAGTGCAGGGGTACCAGGTAGTACTGAGGCTATTTACAAGGAGTACCAGTACTGAGTCAATGTGCAGGAGTACCAGTACTGAGTCAATGTGCAGGAGTACCAGTACTGAGTCAATGTGCAGGAGTATCAGTACTGAGTCAATGTGCAGGAGTACCAGGTAGTTGAGGTAATTTAGGCAATATATGCGGTGCTTTCTGAAAGTTTTCAGACCCCTTGACTTTTTCCAAGTTTTGTTACTTTACAGCCTTATTCTAAAATGGATTAAATAAAAATGTTTCCTCATCAATCTACACACAATACCCCATAATGATGAAGCGAAAACAGGTTTTTAGAAATGTTTGCAAATTTATTCATCTGACACGGCCTGGTATAGAGGTCCTGGATGGCAGGGAGCTCTGATATAGAGGTCCTGGATGGCAGGGAGCTCTGATATAGAGGTCCTGGATGGCAGGGAGCTCTGGTATATAGGTCCTGGATGGCAGGGAGTTCTGGTATATAGGTCCTGGATGGCAGGGAGCTCTGGTATATAGGTCCTGGATGGCAGGGAGCTCTGATATAGAGGTCCTGGATGGCAGGGAGCTCGGCCCCAGTGATGTACTGGGCTGTCTGCACTACCCTTTGTATCTCCATGTGATCTAGCTGCAGTTGTCATACCAGGCAGTGATGCAACCAGTCAGGATGCTCTAGATGGTGCAGTTGTAGAACTTTTTGAGGATCTGAGGGCCCATGCCAAACCTTTTCAGCCTCCTGAGGGGGAATAGGCGTTGTCGTGCATTCATCACGACTGTGTTGGGTGTTGGTGTGTTTAGACCATGATAGGTGCTTAGTGATGTGGACACCGAGGAACTTGAAGCTCTCGACCCGCTCCACTACAGCCCCGTCGATGGGAATGGGGGTGTGTTGGCCCTCCGTTTCCTGTAGTCCACAATCAGCTCCTTTGTCTTGCTGACATTGAGGGAGAGGTTGTTCTCCTGGCACCACACTGCCAGGTCTCTGACCTCCTACATGTAGACTGTCTCATCGTTGTCGGTGATCAGGCCTACCACCGTCGTGTCGTCTGCAAACTTAATGATGGTGTTGGAGTCGTGCCTGGCCATGCAGTCATGGGTGAACAGGGAGTACAGGAAGGGACTGAGCACGCACCTCTGAGGGGCCCCAGTGTTGAGGATCAGCGTGGCAGATGTGTTGTTGCCTACCCTTACCACCTGGGGGCGGCCCGTCAGGAAGTCCAGGATCCAGTTGTAGAGGGAGGTGTTCGTCTGTTGTGCGTCTGTGTTGTAGAGAGAGGCGACAGTGGGCAGAACATGTTTGTGCTCTACAAATGTTTTGTCATTTCTTTTGGATGCAGAGAAAATTCTGATTCATTAAAACAGCCTGATCTCCGAAGTCCACGTCTATAGTCCCAACCAATCACACACAGCGCAGAGCTACAGCGGGGCAGTACAGCGCCAGTTACATTGGGGCCTTCTAGACCCGGATTCATCGTTGATCGACGTCAGCTCAATCACCGCAGTCCTGCTGCTCTAGAGACACTGTTTACATCATTGAGGTACGCGGATCTGCAGTCTATATTCTCTCCTGTAATTTTTTTTCTCTCAAAATGATGTATTGAGAGTGCTGTTTATGGTTAACTAATATAGAAGTGTGTTCATCAACAGACATTTTAACATAACATTAGTGGTTTAGTGACATGGCATCTTATAAATGGTGATGATGAACCCAAATGCACTGCTGAGAGGGGGAGGTTTTTCTCATACCCTGATCAAACCCCTGTAAAGCGTGTAGGTGCAGTAGGTTCCCCCCATGTTTTGCTCCACTAAAAATACTGATGAAAGCCCTTCATCTAGTGTTAATCAAAATGCCCCCCGTAGATGGTTTAGCTGAGCTGGTCACTCAACTAGCCCGGGAAACAGGGAGCTCCATTAGGGAGGAAATGCAGAGTGGCAGGTCCACTCATGAGCCACCAGTAAGTACAGAGAAGATAAGTGATCATCCCTCAGAGTCAGCAGGATATGTAGACCTCAGTAAAATGAAGTTCATCTTGCAATCAGACGTGAAGGAACCTCCTACATATAGAGGAGATGGTACAGACAAACGCTCCATTCATGAATGGGAGGAGTTGATGAGAATATACTTGAGGACGAAGGGATGTCCTGTTGGGGAACAATCGGATGAGATGATTAGTCGACTGTCTGGCAAAGCAAGAGACATGGTAAAGATACATTTACGCAATGAGACAACTGTTGATCCTAAAGAGAAGCCAGAGATTGTATTTGACATTCTGAAACAGAATTTCAGCAAATTGGCCTACTCATGCATGCCTTTAGCTGATTTTTAACAATACTAAGCCTGTACCCGGAGAGGCTGTTATGGAGTATTGGGTTCAATTGAACAAGGCCATAGATGTCACTGATGAGGGCCTTAAGAGACAAGGTAAGAAGATTGACAGCTCCAACTCAGATGTCGTCATGATGTTTGTAACATCCTGCCCTGACCCCAAACTGGCAGCAGTATTCCAATACAAGTCTGCTGAGAAATGGACTGCGAGTGAAGTACAGGAGAGAATCTATGAACATGAACACCGCAGAAAGGCCACCATGTGTCACTCTAACGCTGTATCCTCAAAGCAAGTAACAGTACATCCCCAGACAACTCCGTTTGAAGGCGGGGCCAATGCTGGTGCGTGCAGTAACACTTCTCTCACATCAAGCGCCAAACAAGATGGGCAGAGTGCAGGTATCGAGAGGCTGTCACCTGCTTGACCGTACCTGAGAGAAGAGCATACCACCTGTTTACAGTTTACAGTGGGCAGAACCTATTTACAGTGGGCAGAACCTGTTTACAACGGGCAGAACCTATTTACAGTGGGCAGAACCTGTTTACAACGGGCAGAACCTATTTACAGTGGGCAGAACCTGTTTACAGCGGGCAGAACCTATTTACAGTGGGCAGAACCTGTTTACAGTGGGCAGAACCTATTTGTGCTCTACAAATGTTTTGTCTTTTCTTTTGGATGCAGAGAGAATTCTGATTCATTAAAACAGCCTGATCTCCGAAGTCCACGTCTATAGTCCCAATCAATCACACACAACGCAGAGATACAGCCGTGCAGTACAGCACCAGTTACACCTAGTCAGAACCATGAAAAACAGCCCCAGTCAATTATTCCTCCTCCACCAAACTTTACAGTTGGCACTATGCATTGGGGCAGGTAGTGTTCTCCTGGCATCCGCCAAACCCAGATTCGCCCATCGGACTGCCAGATGGCGAAGGGTGATTAATCACTCCAGAGAACGTGTTTTCACTGCTTCAGAGTCCAATGGCGGCGAGCTTTACACCACTCCAGCCGACGCTTGGCATTGCACATGGTGATCTTAGGCTTGTGTTCGGCTGCTCGGCCATGGAAACACATTTCATGAAGCTCCTGACGAACAGCTCTTGTGCTGACGTTGCTTCCAGAGACAGTTTGGAACTCGATAGTGAGTGTTGCAACCGAGGCCAACGATTTTTATGTGCTGCTTCAGCACTCTGCGGTCCTGTTCTGTGAGATTGTGTGGCCTACCACTTCCCTGCTGAGCCATTGTTGCTCCTAGACGTTTCCACTTCACAATAACAGCACTTACAGATGACCGGGGCAGCTCTAGCAGGGCAGACATTTGACGAACTGACTTGTTGGAAAGGTGGCATCCTATGACGGTGCCACGTTGAAAGTCACTGAGCTCTTCAGTAAGGCCATTCTACTGCCAATGTTTGTCTATGGAGATTGCATGGCGGTGTGCTCGATTTTATACACTTGTCAGCAACGGGTGTGGCTGAAATAGCAGAATCCACTAATTTGAAGGAGTGTCCACATACTTTTGTATATATAGTGTATAACAATATGAGGCAACATAACTGTTCGCAGGGTTGGTTAACACAGGTTTAGGAGATATTATATGTTGTGTTCTTTAAGATAATATAAATCAGTTAACATGATCTTTATGAATTTTGAAGCCTTTATGTGCTTTTTATATTACTCTTCCAAATTGACAAAAAGTGACATTAGCTGATTAAGATGATCTCATAGAACAAAACGTATACGATCTCCTAAGCCTATGTTTACCACAGACCTTATTTACAGCGTTTATCCAAAATCCCTACAAATACTTCATTCATTTATCATAGGTTCAACGAACAATGGCGGAGTTAATGCTTACAACAAGACGCCATTAGGGTTGGAATACATTTTCAGGTTTAATATTTATCTCCAGCCAAGACAACCAATCAGCGTTCGCCTTGCTCTGACGTGCTCTTCCTCTCTCTGCCTGAGCCAATCAGCGACCGTGTTGTTATATCTCAGCTACTAAGTGGGTTTGTTTGGGTTTAAAGAGCTGTTTGGTGATCGGGAAAGACACCAACGACAAAAATGAGCATCGTTCACAAATAAGTAAGATGATCTTTCTATGCTTGTTTCTACTGTGATTGAATCGGTCGAGTGGTAACGACGTTGTAGATTCCCGGGCTGTTGTTTTATTTGGTTACCTAGCTGCTAGCTGCGTACGTTAACTTAGCTAGCCCGTGACGTTAGCGCATCATATCATCACCTTGCTGACAGATTTTGTTAGGTTGAAACGTTAGCGTTCGTTTAACTTATCCAAGGGACGTCATTTGATATCAAAGTCAGACCACTGGCTCGCTAATCTTTTGCTAGCGAGGCTTTTTGTCCATTCAGCCAGCAACAATAGAAGGCTGCTGCACCAACCAGCCTCCTGGCAGCCAGCCTCCAGGCCCAGACAGCTAGAAAGACAGGCTCTGGTAGTATTTATTCAGAAAGACAGTGCTGGAGACATTTGTCAGTATTTCTTCCTCTGTGACTGGGTGTGTGTAGGTAGAGCAGATAGCTTGTCGGGGTCTGTAGTTGTACCAGTGGAGAGAGGGATGATGTCAGCGGCAGGATTCTAGAAGTTAGCTAGCTCCTCCCCTCCTTTTTGTGTGTGTGTGTTGATTTTGTGTTGATTGTGTGTGTGTGTTGGTCGTGTGGGTGTTGATAGTGTGAGTGTGTTTACCTCCAACAGGGTGGGTGTCAGTGTGTTTATCTCCAACAGGGTGGGTGTGAGTGTGTTTATCTCCAACAGGGTGGGTGTGAGTGTGTTTATCTCCAACAGGGTGGGTGTGAGTGTGTTTATCTCCAACAGGGTGGGTGTCAGTGTGTTTATCTCCAACAGGGTGGGTGTGAGTGTGTTTATCTCCAACAGGGTGGGTGTCAGTGTGTTTATCTCCAACAGGGTGGGTGTGTTTATCTCCAACAGGGTGGGTGTGTTTATCTCCAACAGGGTGGGTGTCAGTGTGTTTATCTCCAACAGGGTGGGTGTGAGTGTGTTTACCTCCAACAGGGTGGGTGTCAGTGTGTTTATCTCCAACAGGGTGGGTGTGAGTGTGTTTATCTCCAACAGGGTGGGTGTGGGTGTGTTTATCTCCAACAGGGTGGGTGTCAGTGTGTTTATCTCCAACAGGGTGGGTGTCAGTGTGTTTATCTCCAACAGGGTGGGTGTGTTTATCTCCAACAGGGTGGGTGTGTTTATCTCCAACAGGGTGGGTGTGATGGAGGTCCGTGTGGGCAGCGTGGTGTTTACCTCCAACAGGGTGGGTGTGATGGAGGTCCGTGTGGGCAGCGTGGTGTTTACCTCCAACAGGGTGGGTGTGATGGAGGTCCGTGTGGGCAGCGTGGTGTTTACCTCCAACAGGGTGGGTGTGTTTATCTCCAACAGGGTGGGTGTGATGGAGGTTCGTGTGGGCAGCGTGGTGTTTACCTCCAACAGGGTGGGTGTGATGGAGGTTCGTGTGGGCAGCGTGGTGTTTATCTCCAACAGGGTGGGTGTCAGTGTGTTTATCTCCAACAGGGTGGGTGTGAGTGTGTTTATCTCCAACAGGGTGGGTGTGTTTATCTCCAACAGGGTGGGTGTGAGTGCCAGCCGGCCCCGAGGTTAGGTCATGGAGGTCCGTGTGGGCAGCGTGGTGTTTTGCTCCAACAGGGTGGGTGTGTTTATCTCCAACAGGGTGGGTGTGATGGAGGTCCGTGTGGGCAGCGTGGTGTTTTGCTCCAACAGGGTGGGTGTGTTTATCTCCAACAGGGTGGGTGTGATGGAGGTCCGTGTGGGCAGCGTGGTGTTTTGCTCCATGTTTGACTCTGGAAACCTGGCCCGCGTGGAGAAGGTCGACTCCACAACCCTTAGCAACGCCCCCGACTACGAGTTTAATGTCTGGACGCGCCCTGACTGTGCCGGGACAGAACACGAGAATGGAAACAGGTAACCTAGCAACTCACAAACACACACACGATTGGACAGGTAGAACAATATGCCTAACCAAGCAACACACTCCTCTGGGCTCTGCAGTGTACAGCCTCTCACTGTGTGTGTGTTGCAGGTCGTGGTTCTACTTCAGTGTGCGTGGTGCTGTGCCGGGGCGGCTGCTGAAGGTCAATGTAATGAATATGAACAAGCAGAGTAAACTGTACAACCAGGGAATGGCTCCTCTAGTCAGGACTGTACCTGGTAGGACACGCTGGGAGAGAGTACGGGACAGACCCACATACGAGGTACACTCACTATACACAACCACACACAAACACGCACAAATAGACAACAATAACACATAACCAGACAGAGACCACAAGAGAAAGACACAAGACCACAGAGACACAAACTTACCAGGAGACACGATCAACAGGGTACCAAAAGACAGAGACCACGTAAGACACAATAACCAGAAATACACATTAGACCACCACTAGATACACAAGACCGAAAAGACACAATACCACACAACACAAATACCACTATATACACAGATACCACGAATACACAAGCACGACCAAGATACCACGAAATACACAGATACACGGAGAACACAAGACCACGAAAAACAGTAGACCACAGAGACACAAATACCACGTAAGACACGGGAGACCACGAGATACAGACAAGAGACCACGAAACACAGGAGACCACGAGAGACACAAGAGACCACGAATACACAGGAGACCACGAGAACACACAAGAGACCACGAAAACACAGGAACAGAGACACACAAGAGACACTAAAACACAGGGACCACGGAACACACAAGAGACCACGAAAACACAAAGACCACAGAGGACACGTAGACACCACTGAAAGACACATTATACCACGAGAACATACAATATACCATAAAACACATGATACCACGAGATACACACAATATGACACTAAAGACACATAGACCACGAGATACACAGAACCACGAGAGACACAGGAACCACAGAAAACAGAGACCACTAGAGACACAGGAGACCACGATGAGACACAGAACCACTGATAGACACAGATACCACTAAATACACATTATACCACTATATACACAATATACCACTATATACACATTATACCACTATATACACATTATACCACTATATACACATTATACCACTATATACACACATACAAACACACACACACACTATATTTACAGATGCATGGACTAAATGGATGGGTTATTGGTTGTCAAAACGTTTCTTCTCTCCACCTCTCCTCAGATGGTGGATAATCAGTTCATCCTGTCCTTTACCCATCGTCTGTTGGAAGTGAAAGGAGCGACCACGTTCTTCTCCTTCTGTTTCCCCTTCTCCTACAGCGAGGGTCAAGACCTGCTGTCACAACTGGACCAGAGATACCCTGACACATCCACGCTCACACCCAGGTACACACACACACTGACACACACCAATCCTCTGGAGTCAGCGTTTTAACCCGCTCCTCTCTCATGCTTGGGATCTGGAGTAGCAGTAGCGTCTCGAGAGATAGAGCGAGGGAGCTGCAGAAGCGCGAGTCTATCGGTGCATCGCATCGAGAAGAGCCCAGAGCGCGCGAGAGAGCAGCGGCTGTGAGAGATAGCGCGATCTAGCCTCAATCGTCGGTCTCTATCTCTTGGTCTCTCTCTCTATCTTCTCTCTTCTCCTCTCTGTAACTTATCTTCTCATATCGTCTCTGTCTCTGTCTCTCTGTCTCTGTCGCATCTCTCTCTCTCCTCCCCCTCTCTCTCTCTCTCTCCCCCTCTCTGTCACTCTCCTCTCTGTCTCTGTCTCCTGTCCTGGTCGCCTTCCTCTCCTCTGCTCTCTCTCGTCCTGCTTGTCACTTCTCTCTCTCTTCTCTTTCTGTCTCTATTCGATGCTCTGTCTGTTCGCTGTCCCTCTCATCTCGCACCCACGTCTATTTCTGTCTCTCGTCTCTCCTCACTTTCTCGTTCTCTTACTCTCTCTTCACTCGCTATCTCTCTCTCCTCTCTCATGCTCGGCGGAGGATGGCAAGAGAGCGAGAGCGATGCTCTTCATGCTCATCTCTCTCTCTCGCTCTCTCTTTCATTCCTAGTGCTAAGTCTCGGCTCTCTCCCCCTCCAGTTCTGGTGACAGTTGTGTACTACCACAGGGAGGTGTTGTGTAATTCTCTGGATGGTAACAGAGTGGATCTGCTGACTATCACCAGCTGTCTTGGAATGCAGGAAGAGAGAGAACACCGCCTGGACAAACTGTTTCCTGATACAGAGACTCCACGACCTCATCGCTTCACTGGAAAACAGGTGACACACACGTACACACTCACGTACACACACACACACACACAGTCACGTACACACACACAAAATGCCCTGACCACAGGGTGATGTTTAATCAGTAAGGTTTTGTCTATTGATAATAATGTGGTGTGTGTGTGTGTGTGTGTGTGTGTGTGTGTGTGTGTGTGTGTGTGTAGGTGTTTTTCCTCAGTAGTCGTGTACATCCGGGGGAGACGCCGTCGTCGTTTGTGTTTAAGGGTTTTTTAAACTTCATCCTGCGCCATGACGACCCCAGAGCTCACACACTCCGCAACATGTTTGTCTTCAAACTCATTCCCATGCTCAACCCTGACGGGGTGATCCGGGGACACTACAGGTAAAGCATGCACACTCAACATTACTGTGCTTTTTGGAAGAAAATACAACCTTTTTTTTGTCTCACTGTCTCCCTCTCCAACTGTCTCCCTCTCCAACTCTCCCCCTCGCTCACTGTCTCCCTCGCTCACTGTCACTGTCTCCCTCTCTCACTGTCTCCCTCTCTCACTGTCTTCCTCTCTCACTGTCTCCCTCTCTCACTGTCTCCCTCTCTCACTGTCTTCCTCTCTCACTGTCTCCCTCTCTCACTGCCTCCCTCTCTCACTGTGTCCCTTTCACTGTCTCACTGTCTCCCTCTCTCACTGTATGTCTCACTGTCTAACTGTCTCACTGTCTCCAAATCACTGTCTCCCTCTCTCACTGTCAAACTGTCTCCCTCTCTTACTGTCTGTCTCCCTCTCTCACTGTCTCTCTCCCCCTCTCACTAACTGTCTCCCTCCCTCTCTCACTGTCTCCCTTTCTCACTGTGTCCCGTTCTCACTGTCTCACTTTCTCCCTCTCTCACTGTCTCACTGTCTCCGTCTCTCACTGTCTCCCTTTCTCACTGTGTCCCGTTCTCACTGTCTCACTGTCTCCCTCTCTCACTGTCTCCCTCTCTCACTGTCTCCGTCTCTCACTGTGTCCCTTTCTCACTGTGTCCCTTTCTCACTGTCTCCCTCTCTCACGGTCTCCCTCTCTCCCTCTCTCACTGTCTGTCTCCCTCTCTCACTGTCTGTCTCCCTCTCTCACTGTCTGTCTCCCTCTCTCACTGTCTGTCTCCCTCTCTCACTGACTCTGTCTCCCTCTCTCACTGTCTCCCTCTCTCACTCTCTCACTGTCTGTCTCCCTCTCTCACTGTCTGTCTCCCTCTCTCACTGACTCTGTCTCCCTCTCTCACTGTCTCCCTCTCTCACTCTCTCACTGTCTGTCTCCCTCTCTCACTGTCTGTCTCCCTCTCTCACTGACTCTGTCTCTCTCTCTCTCACTGTCTCCCTCTCTCTCACTGTCTCCCTCTCTCACTGTCTGTCTCACTCTCTCACTGTCTGTCTCCCTCTCTCACTGTCTCTCTCTCTCACTGTCTCACTCTCTTAATCCCTCCCTCCCTCCCCAGGACTGACTCTAGAGGGGTGAATCTGAACAGACAGTATCTGAGCCCTAGTCCTGATCTCCACCCCTCCATCTACGCTGCTAAAACACTGCTGCTCTACCACCACACACACAACCGCACCACACACACACACTCCAACACGCACAGCAACACACACCACAACACACACTCTAACACACACACCTACATCCCACCTCAAGCCCCTCCCCTCAGCACCAAACCCAACTATCAGAGCCCTGCCCCACCCCTCACCCCTCTGGAACTCAGCCTCAACCAACGGAACGCTGATAAAGACTCTAACCCCGCCCCCTCAGAGATCACCATGGTTATGGAGGAGAACACCTGGGTAACCACGGAGACCGGGAAGAGGGAGGGGCAGGGGGATGGAAGGCGCTGTGAAGATGAGAATGATTCGCAGAGCGTCTCAGAGTCCACACCCACATCAGTACCTCTGGAGCTGGTAGTCACAGCCGGGGAACCAATCCCTGCGCAGGAGGGGGGAGTGGCCTATTACGTGGACCTGCATGGCCACGCTTCCAAACGCGGCTGCTTCATGTACGGCAACAGCCTATCAGACGAAAACCAGCAGGTGAGAGAGAGAGGGGGGGAGGGAGAGGGAGACTTGGGGAGAGAGCTGGGGAGGGGCAAATGGAGACTTGGAGAGGGAGACTTGGGGAGAGAGAGAGAGACTTGGGGAGAGAGAGGGGGAGACTTGGAGGGAGAGAGAGAGAGACTTGGGGAGACTTGGAGAGGGAGACTTGGAGGGAGAGAGAGAGCGGGAGACTTGGAGAGGGAGGGAGAGAGGCAGGGAGAAACAGAATGTAAAATTGTTGCGGGGGAAGTTTGAGAGAGAGGGGGAGGGAGGGAAGTTGGTTGGTTGAATTGTTGCAGGGGTAGTTTGCTGTGAAACCGTGTCTGAAATTTGAAGACTCCTGTTAGCTCCAAGGACTCTCTAGGCTTCAGCTCAGTGGGCTTACATGGTCTTGTTTTTTGCAACTCTTTTTATTGGTATTTTTTTCACAGTTACTGTAAACAATGCTTAAAATACAGTACATTGCACATGTGATTTTATACATTCGATATAGCATGGGAACATGCTTTTTGAATGAGGTAGGAATGTATATGATCATTCGAAAATATAAAATACTTAAGTAATACTTTCATAACAAAACAAACATTAGAAACAACAAAGTGCCCCCAAAAACCAAAACATGGCCAGTCTTAAAAAGCAATAGAACAATTATAATAATAAGACTGGTTAATATTAAACGCTCTATTAAATACAAAGCTCGGCTAGACAGTTTAATTTAGAGTGTCTCTACATTTACATGTAGAGTATACATGTTACATGTTAGTATACATGTTAGTCAGTTACTCCTGAGTGGCGCAGGGGTCTAAGGCGCTGCATCGCAGTGCTAACTGTGCCACTAGAGATCCTGGTTCGAATCCAGGCTCTGTCGCAGCCGGCCGCGACCGGGAGACTCATGGGCGGCGCACAATTGGCCCAGCGTCGTCCAGGATAGGAGAGGGAATGGCCGGCAGGGATGTAGCTCAGTTGGTAGAGCATGGCGTTTGTGGGTTCGATTCCCACGGGGGGCCAGTATAAAAAAATTATTATAATGTATTCACTAACTGTAAGTCGCTCTGGATAAGAGCGTCTGCTAAATGACTAAAATGTAAAATGTAACTCCTATTACTAGCCTGTTCAACCTCTCTTTCATAACGTCTGAGATCCCCAGTGATTGGAAAGCTGCCGCGGTCATCCCCCTCTTCAAAGGGGGTGACACTCTAGATCCAAACTGTTACAGACCTACAGTGGGGAAAAAAAGTATTTAGTCAGCCACCAATTGTGCAAGTTCTCCCACTTAAAAAGATGAGAGAGGCCTGTAAGCATTTCAAGGTCCTGGAGTGGCCTAGCCAGTCTCCAGATCTCAACCCCATAGAAAATCTTTGGAGGGAGTTGAAAGTCTGTGTTGCCCAGCGACAGCCCCAAAACATCACTGCTCTAGAGGAGATCTGCATGGAGGAATGGGCCAAAATACCAGCAACAGTGTGTGAAAACCTTGTGAAGACTTACAGAAAACGTTTGACCTGTGTCATTGCCAACAAAGGGTATATAACAAAGTATTGAGAAACTTTTGTTATTGACCAAATACTTATTTTCCACCATAATTTGCAAATAAATTCATTGAAAATCCTACAATGTGATTTTCTGGATTTTTTTTCCCTCATTTTGTCTGTCATAGTTGACGTGTACCTATGATGAAAATTACAGGCCTCTCTCATCTTTTTAAGTGGGAGAACTTGCACAATTGGTGGCTGACTAAATACTTTTTTCCCCCACAGTATATGTCTCTTTTGAGGCCATCCAAAGCTTCTGTGAACTTCCTCAAACTAAGGGCAGCGTCCTGGCAATCGCTGTCCTCCTCCCGCCCTGACAAGTTGCTTGCCGGGGTTGCTCGTCCAGGCAAGCCTGGGGCTTGGGGCCTCCTTTGGGAGGGTCTCTTTTAGAGCGAGTGTCTCCATTTTTCAGGGATTTGTGGAACAGTGAAGCGTCAGATTATGTTTAGGAAATGAAGCTCAGCAATAGAAGTCAAGTTGTAGACTAGACTGAGGTTTTAAATAACAGACATATGACCGTTTACTCAGTTAGCGGGTGTGCTAGCTTGCTGACGACCGTTTACTCAGTTAGCGGGTGTGCTAGCTGGCTGACGACCGTTTACTCAGTAAGCGGGTGTGCTAGCTGGCTGACGACCGTTTACTCAGTAAGCGGGTGTGCTAGCTGGCTGACGACCGTTTACTCAGTAAGCGGGTGTGCTAGCTTGCTGACGACCGTTTACTCAGTTAGCGGGTGTGCTAGCTGGCTGACGACCGTTTACTCAGTAAGCGGGTGTGCTAGCTGGCTGACGACCGTTTACTCAGTTAGCGGGTGTGCTAGCTGGCTGACGACCGTTTACTCAGTTAGCGGGTGTGCTAGCTTGCTGACGACAGTTCAGCAGTTGAATGTGCCCTTCTTATTTCAAGTCGCGTTTACAGCGATTATATGACTTCTTTCACTGTTACGAAGAGAAAAGAGATGAAAAACCTTGCTTCGGATATTCTGCAGACCAAGGCAACCGAAACTGTGTCAGAAGCAGACAAATGCCCGCCTCTCCTGTTGGTAGCTCGTTCAGGAAAATCCAAGGCTTTGCTGCGGCCTACTTCAGCAATCTTCCATTCAGCAAATTCACGGCCATTTTTAATGTTCGGAAGAGCAACGAGATATGAAACTATGTAAGCAATACTTAGTAAAGCGAAATTAATTAAACAATAAATTAAACTGTGCACTAAATTTAAATAAAGTTTGACACAACTTGGCGGATCTCCGGGAAACGTGCGTTAAGTCATTCGTGCCCCCGGAAATCCCCTACATGGTCTTGTTTGATACCTTAATGCTGACGTGTGTGTTTGTGTTTGTGTGTGTGTGTGTGTGTGTGTGTGTGTGGTGTGTGTGTGTGTGTGTGTGTATCTGTGTGTAGGTGGAGAACATGTTGTACCCTAAGCTGATAGCTGTGAACTCCGCCCACTTTGACTTCCATGGGTGTAACTTCTCTGAGAAGAACATGTACGCCCGCGACAGGAGAGATGGGCAGAGCAAAGAGGGCAGCGGACGCGTGGCCATGCACAAAGCTATAGGACTACTACACAGGTAATATCACCGCACACAAAGCTATAGGACTACTACACAGGTAATATCACCGCACACAAAGCTATAGGACTACTACACAGGTAATATCACCACACACAAAGCTATAGGACTACTACACAGGTAATATCACCGCACACAAAGCTATAGGACTACTACACAGGTAATATCACCACACACAAAGCTATAGGACTACTACACAGGTAATATCACCACACACAAAGCTATAGGACTACTACACAGGTAATATCACCACACACAAAGCTATAGGACTACTACACAGGTAATATCACCGCACACAAAGCTATAGGACTACTACACAGGTAATATCACCACACACAAAGCTATAGGACTACTACACAGGTAATATCACCACACACAAAGCTATAGGACTACTACACAGGTAATATCACCACACACAAAGCTATAGGACTACTACACAGGTAATATCACCGGACACAAAGCTATAGGACTACTACACAGGTAATATCACCGGACACAAAGCTATAGGACTACTACACAGGTAATATCACCACACACAAAGCTGTTTGTGTCATCCAACAAATGTAAATGCCTGGAGTTTGCTTAATGTCATTGGTAATTGGATTGGAGCCGGTGCTATGATCAGATGACAAATAGATGTCTTTGGCGACTCACACCAGTGCTGGGTTTGGATGTTATAAGCAGAACAGAAGCTACTGTAAATTATAGTAGTGGAGCTTTGATGTTATGGGGCTGTTTTGCTTCCACTGGTCCAGGGGCCCTTGTTAAGGTCAACGGCATCATGAGCTTTACCCAGTACCGGGACATTTTAGGCCAAAACCTGGTTGCCTTTGCCAGGAGGCTGAAACCTGGCCTTTAGTGGATCTTCCAGCAAGACGATAACCCCATTGAAAACCTGTGATTTGAATTGAAGAGGGCAGTCCATATGCACAGATGAAGGAAATCAAGGAGCTGGAAAGATTCTGTATGGAGGAATGGTTTAAGATCCCTCCTAATGTGTTCTCCAATCTCATAAAACATTTTAGAAATAGGCTCAGTGCCGTTATCCTCGCATGGGGAGGGGGCTAGAGTATTGAAAACGGGCAATAACTTTGACCCCTATCTTTTTGAGAGAGAGAATTCGTTTTTTTTTTACACTATAGCTCAGTATTTGAATTATTTATTTTATACAGTCTTTTATGCTCATGTTTATCAAGGGTGACAATTTTGGTCATGTCTGTATATATATTATGCTTATAAGCTGAGTGTACAAAACATTAAGAACACCTGCTCTTTCCATGACATAGACTGACCAGGTGAATCCAGGTGAAAGCTACTATCCCTTATTAATGTCACTTGTTAAATCCACTTCAATCAGTGTAGATGAAGGGGAGGAGACAGGTTAAAGAAGGATTTGTAAGCCTTGAGACAATTGAGACGTGGATTATGTATGTCTGCCATTCAGAGGGTGAATGGGCGAGACAAAATATTTAAGTGTCTTTGAACGGGGTATGGTAGTAGGTGCCAGGCGAACAGGATTGAGTGTGTCAAGAACTGCAACGCTGCTGGGTTTTTCACGCTCAACAGTTTCCGTGTGTGTCAAGAATGGTCCACCATCCAAAGGACATCCAGCCAACTTGACACAATTGTGGGAAGCATTGGAGTCAACATGGGCCAGCATTCCTGTGGAACGTTTTCGACACATTGTAGCGCCTATGCCCTGACAAATTGAGGCTGCTCTGAGGACATTAGGAAGGTGTTCTTAATGTTTTGTAAACTCAGTGTATATCAAAAAACACAAATCTAATTTATTGGTCACATAGACATGTTTAGCAGATGTTATTGCGAGTGTAGTGAAATGCTTGTGCTTCTAGTTCCGACAGGGCAGTAATATCTAACAGATACACAACAAATACCTAATACGCACAAATCTAAGTAAAGGCACACCTGTTACAGTGGCTTGCGAAAGTATTCACCCCCCTTGGCATTTTTCCTATTTTGTTGCCTTACAACCTGGAATTAAAATATATTTTTGGGGGGTTTGTATCATTTGATTTACACAACATGCCTACCACTTTGAAGATGCAAAATATTTTTTTGTGTGAAACAAACAAGAAATAAGACAAAAAAACAGAACTTGAGCGTGCATAACTATTCACCCCCCCAAAGTCAAAACTTTGTAGAGCCACCTTTTGCAGCAATTACAGCTGCAAGTCTCTTGGGGTATGTCTCTATAAGCTTGGCACATCTAGCCACTGGGATTTTTGCCCATTCTTCAAGGCAAAACTGCTCCAGCTCCTTCAAGTTGGATGGGTTCCGCTGGTGTACAGCAATCTTTAAGTCATACCACAGATTCTCAATTGGATTGAGGTCTGGGCTTTGACTAGGCCATTCCAAGACATTTAAATGTTTCCCCTTAAACCACTCAAGTGTTGCTTTAGCAGTATGCTTAGGGTCATTGTCCTGCTGGAAGGTGAATCTCCGTCCCAGTCTCAAATCTCTGGAAGACTGAAACAGGTTTCCCTCAAGAATTTCCCAGTATTTAGCGCCATCCATCATTCCTTCAATTCTGACCTGTTTCCCAGTCCCTGCCGATGGAAAAACATCCCCACAGCATGATGCTGCCACCACCATGCTTCACTGTGGGGATGGTGTTCTCGGGGTGATGAGAGGTGTTGGGTTTGCGCCAGACATAGTGTTTTCCTTGATGGCCAAAAGGCTCAATTTTAGTCTCATCTGACCAGAGTACCTTCTTCCATATGTTTGGGGAGTCTCCCACATGCCTTTTGGCGAACACCAAGCGTGTTTGCTAATTTTTTTCTTTAAGCAATGGCTTTTTCTGGCCACTCTTCCTTAAAGCCCAACTCTGTGGAGTGTACGGCTTAAAGTGGTCCTATGGACAGATACTCCAATATCCGCTATGGAGCTTTGCAGCTCCTTCAGGGTTATCTTTGGTCTCTTTGTTGCCTCTGATTAATGCCCTCCTTGCCTGGTCCGTGAGTTTTGGCGGGCGGCCCTCTCTTGGCAGGTTTGTTGTGGTGCCATATTCTTTCCATTTTTTTTTATAATGGATGTAAAGGTGCTCCGTGGGATGTTCAAAGTTTCTGATATTTTTTTATAACCCAACCCTGATCTGTACTTCTCCACAACTTTGTCCCTGACCTGTTTGGAGAGCTCCTTGGTCTTCATGGTGCCGCTTGCTTGGTGGTGCCCCTTGCTTAGTGGTGTTGCAGACTCTGGGGCCTTTCAGAACAGGTGTATATATACTGAGATCATGTGACACTTAGATTGCACACAGGTGGACTTTATTTAAACTGGATAAACTGGACTTCCTGACGGGCCGCCCCCAGGTGGTAAGGGTAGGTAACAACACATTTCACTTCACCAATTTGGACTATTTTGTGTATGTCCATTATGAAATCCAAATAAAAATCAATTTAAATCACAGTTTGCACTGCAACAAATTATAAAAAATGCCAAGGGGGATGAATACTTTTGCAAGGTGCTGTAATTAAAATGTTACAGCTATATGTTGCAGTGAAACTGTGTTTATACAGTCTAAATAGAGATATGTAGAGAGAACAGCCATAATGACCAACGTTATGTTTGGAGGAATAAGGGGGATGCTTGCAAGCCGAAGAACACCATCCCAACCGTGAAGCACGGGGGTGGCAGCATCATGCTGTGGGGGTGCTTTGCTGCAGGAGGGACTGGTGCACTTCACAAAATAGATGGCATCATGAGGAAGGAAAATTATGTGGATATATTGAAGCAACATCTCAAGACATCAGTCAGGAAGTTAAAGCTTGGTCGCAAATGGGTCTTCCAAATGGACAATGACCCCAAGCATACTTCCAAAGTTGTGGCAAAATGGCTTAAGGACAACAAAGTCAAGGTATTGGAGTGGCCATCACAAAGCCCTGACCTCAATCCTATAGACAATTTGTGGGCAGAACTGAAAAAGCGTGTGCGAGCAAGGAGGCCTACAAACCTGACTCAGTTACACCAGCTCTGTCAGGAGGAATGGGCCAAAATTCACCCAACTTATTGTGGGACGCTTGTGGAAGGCTACCCAAAACGTTTGACCCAAGTTAAACAACTTAAAGGCAATGCTACCAAATACTAATTGAGTGTATGTAAACTTTTGACCCACTGGGAATGTGATGAAAGAAATAAAAGCTGAAATAAATCATTCTCTCTACTATTATTCTGACATTTCTCATTCTTAAAATAAAGTGGTGATCCTAACTGACCTAAAACAGGGAATTTCTACTAGGATTAAATGTCAGGAATTGTGGAAAACAGAGTTTAAATGTATTTGGCTAAGGTGTATGTAAACTTCCGACTTCAACTGTATATATATTATGGTTATATATTACAGCTATACGTTGGAGTGTAACTACAACACAGGGAGGACAGTCAACACCATCCCTCCTGCCTGCCATGACAACGGACGAGCCACACCTCCTCCCCCTCCAGCATTCCCCCCCAAATATACCCCCGAGATATTCGAACAGGTACATATGCACACGCACAGAGACGGACGCACAGAGACGGACGCACAGAGACGGACGCACAGAGACGGACGCACAGAGACGGACGGACAGAGACGGACGGACAGAGACGGACGCACAGAGACGGACGGACGGGCAGAGACGGACGGAACGAGATGGACGGACAGAGACCAACTGACCGAGACCGACACTGACCGACAGAGACCGACTGACACTGACACTGACCGACAGACACTGACACTGACCGACAGACACTGACACTGACCGACAGACACTGACACTGACCGACAGACACTGACACTGACCGACAGACACTGACACTGACCGACAGACACTGACCGACAGACACTGACCGACAGACACTGACACTGACCGACAGACACTGACCGACAGACACTGACCGACAGACACTGACACTGACCGACAGACACTGACACTGACCGACTGACACTGACACTGACCGACAGACACTGACACTGACCGACAGACACTGACCGACTGACACTGACACTGACCGACAGACACTGACACTGACCGACAGACACTGACACTGACCGACAGACACTGACACTGACCGACAGACACTGACACTGACCGACAGTGTACCCCCGAGATATTCGAACAGGTACATATGCACACGCACAGAGACGGACGCACAGAGACGGACGCACAGAGACGGACGGACAGAGACGGACGGACGGACAGAGACGGACGGACGGACAGAGACGGACGGACAGAGACGGATGGACCGACAGAGACCAACTGACAGAGACCGACACTGACCGACAGAGACCGACCGACACTGACCGACAGAGACTGACCGACAGACACTGACAGACACTGACAGACACTGACGGACACTGACGGAGACTGACGGAGACTGACAGAGACTGACAGAGACTGACAGAGACTGACAGAGACTGACAGAGACTGACAGAGACTGACAGAGACGGACAGAGACGGACAGAGACGGACAGAGACGGACAGAGACGGACAGAGACACACGACACGCAGGAGTAGGGTTGATTTGAGCGTTCTGACCTCACAACGGCAGTCATGGACCCAAGCTAACTTGCTAACGTTGACTAGCTTGCAAGCTACTTCCAGACACACATGAGAGAACAGCTCACTCTGACCATTTTACTCACCCTAGCAGAGCTGGTTAGGCTGTTTTCATGTTATCCAGAGCATTGGTGACTGTAACTGTGCTGCTGGCAACAATTTAATGGTGCTTTTTTGCCAACGTTTACTGACACCTGCCATATTCAACGGGTGTTGAGTGTTCGTAAATTCATCAGTTATTCTGCGCCCTTTGCACACTCAGATGAGAGTGCTCTGAAATCAGAGTAGATAGCCAGAGTGAATTTACGAACGCACCCCAGAGCAGCTAACTATATGTGTGTGTCTAGGTGGGGCGTGCGGTTGCCATAGCAGCCCTGGACATGGCTGACTGCAACCCGTGGCCACGTCTCGTCCTTTCAGAACACAGCAGCTTGACCAACCTCCGCGCCTGGACTCTCAAACACGTCCGCAACAGCAAGGGCCTCAACACACACTCTAGTGGGAGCAAGGGATCACCACCCAAGAGCTTCAGCACGTAAGAACACCTCTGTTTTCCTGTTGTTACTGGAGTCACACTGCTACTGTTATCATCATATCACTACGCTGAAGTACTAAGCATTAATGTCTCGGTGTGTGTGTGTGTGTGTGTGTGTGTGTAGGTCTCTGAGTCGTGTTCGTTGTAACAGCCATAGCAGTAGCAGCCAGACACCGTCCCCTCAGATACACACCGCTCACGTAGCGTAACCTTCGGCTCACGCAAAACCAAACACACCAACACACACACCAAAACACACACTCAACACACAAAAAAACAAAAAAACAAAAACAAAACACCACAAACAACGGGGGGCGGGGGAACAAGATCAATCGGAACTGGCCAAGGTAAGAATATTTGATGTGCCTATCTCTCGAGAGAAAGAGAGAAGAGAGAGAGAGAGAAGAGAGAGAGGGAGGAGAGAAGCGAGAAAGAGAGGAGAAGAGAGGAGAGAGAGCAGAGGAGAGAGAAGGAGGAGAGAGAAGAGAGAGAGAGAGAGAGAGAGGGAGAAAGCGGGAAGAGAGAGAGGAGCGAAAGAGGAGAAGTGATATCCGGTAGCTCTCAGAAGATCAGATCTAGCTAATAGCGAGCACTCTCTCTCTCTCTAGCTCTCTCTCCTCTCTCTCCTCTCTCTCTCTCTCTAGCTCTCACTTGTTCTCTCTCTCTCTCTCCCCCCCTCTCTCTCTCTCTCTCTCTCTCTCTCTCTCTCTCCTCTCTTGCTCTCACTTGTTCTTTCTCTCTCTGTTATGAAGCCTTATGAATGCTGTATGTAGGACTATGTCTGCTGGTATTGACATGGATGTGGTAGTGGTTGATGCATCAAAGCAGATGTGTGCATGGCAGGGCTCTCCAACCCTGTTCCTGGAGAGATATCTTCCTCTTGTTTTTAACTCCAACCCTGTTCCTGGAGAGATATCCTCCTGTAGGTTTTAACACCAACCCTGTTCCTGGAGAGATATCTTCCTCTTGTTTTTAACTCCAACCCTGCTCCTGGAGAGATATCCTCCTGTAGGAACAGGGTTGGAGACTCCTGGTGTATGACCCCTGTATGAACAGGGTTGGAGGCCCCTGGTGTATGGTATCATCCAAAATGCCACCCTGTTGTGCACTATGGGCTATGGTCACTACTGTGTAGGAAATGGAAACTAGGTGCTGTCAGGTGGATATTGGAATAGGGCTCCACTAGAAACTAGGTGTGTTCTGCTGTCAGGTGGATATTGTTTCTATACTGGAAGAGAATGAGGCTGATGATGTCAGAGCAGGAAATCTTACATCGGCTGTGATTGGCTGAGCCCTGTTGGGTTGTGTGTATCCTGCCTGTGTTAGAACCGTGTGTGTGTGTGTGTCTCTGTAGACTCTAAAACTCAGGAGAAGAGACGTCCCCCCCACCACCACCGCTCCGTCCTTCGGTCGTCTCCAAGCAACAGCCACCCCCCCACCCCAGCCCGGCCCCCGCCATCCCCCACCTCCTCCTCTTCCTCCTCCTCGTCCTCCTCGGTGGCGTCCTGTCCTCTTCCAGGTCTGTACTCCCTCCAGACGCAGAGCCTGTCCGCCTTGCTGCCCTCACTGCCCAGGCCTGGGCTGGTCTCCAAACTGAGCCCCCTGCTCCAGACCGGCCTAGGCTCGCCGCTGGCCTGCCTCATCTCAGACAACACTACTGCTACTACTACTACTACAGCACAGACTGGTCACAACCAGGACACACACTGAGAGACATAGAGGGAGAGGAAGAGGGAGAGGGAGAGAGAGGGAGAGAGAGGGAGAGGGAGAGGGAGAGGGAGAGGGAGAGGGAGAGAGGGAGGGGGAGAGCGGGAGAGAGGGAGGGGGAGAGGGGGAGGGGGGAGAGCGGGAGAGAGGGAGGGGGAGAGAGGGAGGGAGAGAGAGAGGGAGGGGGAGAGCGGGAGAGAGGGAGGGGGAGAGGGGGAGAGAGGGAGGGGAGAGAGGGAGGGGAGGGGGAGAGAGGGAGAGGGAGGGGGGGAGAGAGGGAGGGGGATGTGTGTTTGGTGCTGTAACAACCTGTCTGTCTGTCTGTCCTTTTACTATTCACCATAAAGTAGCAAATAAATATATTTACAGTTCCTTCAGAAGGTATTCACCCCTTGACATTTTGTTGTTTCAAAGTGGCATTAAAATGGATTTCATTGTAATTTTTTTGTCAACGAACTACACAAAATAATCTGTAATGTCAAAGTGGAAGAAAATGTCTAACATTTGTACAAAAAATTTGAAAAATAAAACACTAATATATATATATATATATATATATATATATATATATATATATATATATATATATATATATATCTTCATTAGATACAGTTGAAGTCAGAAGTTTACATACACCTTAGCCAAAAACATTTAAACTCAGTTTTTCACAATTCCTGACATTTAATCCTAGTAAAGATTCCCTGTCTTAGCTCAGTTAGGATCACCACTTTATTTTAAGAATGTGAAATGTCAGAATAATAGTAGAGAGAATGATTTATTTCAGCTTTTATTTCTTTCATCACATTCCCAGTGGGACAGAAGTTTACACACACTCAATTAGTATTTGGTAGCATTGCCTTTAAATTGTTTAACTTGGGTCAAATGTTTCGGGTAGCCTTCCACAAGCTTCCCACAATAAGTTGGATGAATTTTGGCCCATTCCTCCTGACAGAGCTGGTGTAACTGAGTCAGGTTTGTAGGCCTCCTTGCTCGCACACGCTTTTTCAGTTCTGCCCACACATGTTCTATAGGATTGAGGTCAGGGCTTTGTGATGGCCACTCCAATACCTTGACTTTGCTGTCCTTAAGCCATTTTGCCACAACTTTGGAAGTATGCTTGGGGTCATTGTCCATTTGGAAGACCCATTTGCGACCAAGCTTTAACTTCCTGACTGATGTCTTGAGATGTTGCTTCAATATATCCACATAATTTTCCTTCCTCATGATGCCATCTATTTTGTGAAGTGCATCAGCAAAGCACCCCCACAGCATGATACTGCCACCCCCGTGCTTCACGGTTGGGATGGTGTTCTTCGGCTTGCAAGCAACCCCCTTTGTCCTCCAAACATAACGATGGTCATTATGGCCAAACAGTTCTATTTCTGTTTCATCAGACCAGAGGACATTTCTCCAAAAAGTACGATCTTTGTCTCCATGTGCAGTTGCAAACCGTAGTCTGGCTTTTTTATGGCGGTTTTGGAGCAGTGGCTTCTTCCTTGCTGAGAGGCCTTTCAGGTTATGTCGATATAGGACTAGTTTTACTGTGGATATAGATACTTTTGTACCTGTTTCCTCCAGCATCTTCACAAGGTCCTTTGCTGTTGTTCTGCGATTGATTTGCACTTTTCACACCAAAGTACGTTCATCTCTAGGAGACAGAACGCGTCTCCTTCCTGAGCGGTATGACGGCTGCGTGGTCCAATGGTGTTTATACTTGCGTACTATTGTTTGTACAGATGAACGTGGTACCTTCAGGCGTTTGAAAATTGCTCCCAAGGATGAACCAGACTTGTGGAGGTCTACAACTTTTTTTCTGAGGTCTTGGCTGATTTCTTTCGATTTTCCCATGATGTCAAGCAAAGAGGCACTGAGTTTGAAGGTAGGCCTTGAAATACATCCACAGGTACACCTCCAATTGACTCAAATTATATCAATTAGCCTATCAGAAGCTTCTAAAGCCATGACATACTTTTCTGGAGTTTTCCAAGCTGTTTAAAGGCACAGTCAACTTAGTGTATGTAAACTTCTGACCCACTGGAATTGTGATACAGTGAAATAATCTGTCTGTAAACAATTGTTGGAAAAATGACTTGTGTCATGCACAAAGTAGATGTACTAACCGACTTGCCAAAACTATAGTTTGTTAACAAGAAATTAGTGGAGTGGTTGAAAAACGAGTTTTAATGACTCCAACCTAAGTGTATATAAACTACCGACTTCAACTTTAAGTATTCAACCCTCTGAGTCCATACATGTTAGAATCACCTTTAGCAGCGATTACAGCTGGGAGTCTTTCTGGGTAAGTCTCTAAGAGCTTTCCACACCTGGATTGTGCAACATTTGCACATTATTCTTTTCGAAACTCTTCAAGCATCTGTCAAATTGTTGATCATTGCGAGACAGTCATTTTCAGATCTTACCATAGATATTCAAGCAGATTTAAGTCAAAACTGTAACTCGGCCACTCAGGACCATTCACTGTCTTCTTGGTAAGCAACTCCAGTGTAGATTTGGTCTTGTGTTTTAGGTTATTGTCCTGCTGAAAGGTGAATTCATCTTCCAGTCTCTGGTGGAAAGCAGACTGAACCAGGTTTTCCTCTATGATTTTGCCTTTGCTTAGCTCCATTCTGTTTATTTTTTATCCTGAAAAACTTCCCAGTCTTTAACGATTACAAGCATACCCATAACATGATGCAGCCACAACTATGCTTGAAAATATGGAGAGTGGTACTCAGTAATGTGTTAATGGTTTGCCCCAACCCAAACACTTTATATTCAGGAGAAAACGTTAATTGCTTTGTCACATTTTTTGCAGTTTTACCTTAGTGCCTTGTTTTGGAATATTTTTTATATTTTGGAATATTTTTTATTCTGTGCAGGCTTCCTTCTTTTCACTCTGTCATTTAGGTTAGTATTGTGGAGTAACTACAATGTTGTTGATCCATCCTCAGTTTTCTCCTATCACAGCCATTCAACTCTGTAACTGTTTTAATGTCACCATTGGCCTCATGGTGAAATCCCTGAGCGGTTTCCTTCCTCTCCGGCAACTGAGTTAGAAAGGATTCTGTATCTTTGTAGTGACTGGGTGTATTGATACACCATCCAAAGTGTAATTAATTACTTCACCGTGCTCAAAGGGATATTCAATGTCTGATTTTTTTTTTTACCCATCTACCAATAGGTGCCCTTCTTTGCGAGGCATTGGAAAACCTCCCTGGTCTTTGTGGTTAAATCTGTGTTTGAAATTCACTGCTCGACTGAGGGACCTTACAGATAATTGGAGGTGGGGTACAGAGATGAGGTAGTCATTCAAAAATCATGTTAAAGCTGCATGTGAGTCCATGCAACTTATTATGTGACTTGTTAAGCAAATGTTTAATCCTGAATTTATTTAGGCTTGCCATAACAAAGGGGTTGAATACTTATTGACTCAAGACATTTCCGCTTTTCATTTTGAATGAATTTGTAAAAAACAATTCAACATTATTTCACTTTGACATTATGGGGTATTGTGTGTAGGCCAGTGACCAAAACATCTCAATTTTATAAATTTTAAATTCAGGCTGTAACAAAACAAAATGTGGAAAAAGTCAAGGGGTGTGAATACTTTGTGCAGGCTCTGTACCTGTAGGTGTCTATAGTGGACCGTTGTATTGGAGAGTTTCTAATAAAGGCAGTGAAGGTGTGATCTTCTAACTTGTGATACTGCTTTATATTTGTATTGGTTTCCTTCCAATTGGCCACAGATTTTCATGTGAATATTCTAAATTCTGCATGAAAGAATATGCCCACTTTCCCACCAGAGGATGTTTTCATCAAATTGACTTGTTTCAGATAATATGGTGTGCGTGATGACTTAGTGCACATTAAACTAACTTTTGCATTTAAATTCCCAAGTACCGAATAAAAAAATAAAAAAAGTTAGATGAGTTTCCATTGCATACTGGGGGTTTCAACTCTACTGATGGTTTTGGCACAAAAACTGTTGTGTTTTATAGCCAGTGTTTAAGCCCTATCTGGTTCTATAGCCAGTGTTTAAGCCCTATCTGGTTCTATAGCCAGTGTGTCCTATCTGGTTCTATAGCCAGTGTTTAAGCCCTATCTGGTTCTATAGCCAGTGTGTCCTATCTGGTTCTATAGCCAGTGTTTAAGCCCTATCTGGTTCTATAGCCAGTGTGTCCTATCTGGTTTTATAGCCAGTGTATAAGCCCTATCTGGTTTTATAGCCAGTGTGTCCTATCTGGTTCTATAGCCAGTGTTTAAGCCCTATCTGGTTTTATAGCCAGTGTGTCCTATCTGGTTCTATAGCCAGTGTTTAAGCCCTATCTGGTTCTATAGCCAGTGTGTCCTATCTGGTTCTATAGCCAGTGTTTAAGCCCTATCTGGTTCTATAGCCAGTGTTTAAGCCCTATCTGGTTCTATAGCCAGTGTGCCCTATCTGGTTTTATAGCCAGTGTGCCCTATCTGGTTCTATAGCCAGTGTGTCCTATCTGGTTCTATAGCCAGTGTTTAAGCCCTATCTGGTTCTATAGCCAGTGTGTCCTATCTGGTTCTATAGCCAGTGTTTAAGCCCTATCTGGTTTTATAGCCAGTGTTTAAGCCCTATCTGGTTTTATAGCCAGTGTGCCCTATCTGGTTCTATAGCCAGTGTGCCCTATCTGGTTCTATAGCCAGTGTTTAAGCCCTATCTGGTTTTATAGCCAGTGTGCCCTATCTGGTTTTATAGCCAGTGTGCCCTATCTGGTTCTATAGCCAGTGTGCCCTATCTGGTTCTATAGCCAGTGTGCCCTATCTGGTTCTATAGCCAGTGTGCCCTATCTGGTTCTATAGCCAGTGTTTAAGCCCTATCTGGTTTTATAGCCAGTGTGCCCTATCTGGTTCTATAGCCAGTGTGCCCTATCTGGTTCTATAGCCAGTGTTTAAGCCCTATCTGGTTTTATAGCCAGTGTGCCCTATCTGGTTCTATAGCCAGTGTGTCCTATCTGGTTCTATAGCCAGTGTTTAAGCCCTATCTGGTTCTATAGCCAGTGTTTAAGCCCTATCTGGTTCTATAGCCAGTGTGCCCTATCTGGTTCTATAGCCAGTGTTTAAGCCCTATCTGGTTCTATAGCCAGTGTTTAAGCCCTATCTGGTTTTATAGCCAGTGTTTAAGCCCTATCTGGTTCTATAGCCAGTGTTTAAGCCCTATCTGGTTCTATAGCCAGTGTTTAAGCCCTATCTGGTTTTATAGCCAGTGTTTAAGCCCTATCTGGTTCTATAGCCAGTGTTTAAGCCCTATCTGGTTTTATAGCCAGTGTTTAAGCCCTATCTGGTTTTATAGCCAGTGTGCCCTATCTGGTTCTATAGCCAGTGTTTAAGCCCTATCTGGTTTCATAGCCAGTGTTTAAGCCCTATCTGGTTTTATAGCCAGTGTTTAAGCCCTATCTGGTTCTATAGCCAGTGTTTAAGCCCTATCGGGTTCTATAGCCAGTGTTTAAGCCCTATCTGGTTTTATAGCCAGTGTTTAAGCCCTATCTGGTTTTATAGCCAGTGTTTAAGCCCTATCTGGTTCTATAGCCAGTGTTTAAGCCCTATCTGGTTCTATAGCCAGTGTTTAAGCCCTATCTGGTTCTATAGCCAGTGTTTAAGCCCTATCTGGTTCTATAGCCAGTGTTTAAGCCCTATCTGGTTCTATAGCCAGTGTTTAAGCCCTATCTGGTTTTATAGCCAGTGTTTAAGCCCTATCTGGTTCTATAGCCAGTGTTTAAGCCCTATCTGGTTTTATAGCCAGTGTTTAAGCCCTATCTGGTTTTATAGCCAGTGTGCCCTATCTGGTTCTATAGCCAGTGTTTAAGCCCTATCTGGTTTTATAGCCAGTGTTTAAGCCCTATCTGGTTTTATAGCCAGTGTTTAAGCCCTATCTGGTTCTATAGCCAGTGTTTAAGCCCTATCGGGTTCTATAGCCAGTGTTTAAGCCCTATCTGGTTTTATAGCCAGTGTTTAAGCCCTATCTGGTTTTATAGCCAGTGTTTAAGCCCTATCTGGTTCTATAGCCAGTGTGCCCTATCTGGTTCTATAGCCAGTGTGCCCTATCTGGTTTTATAGCCAGTGTGCCCTATCTGGTTCTATAGCCAGTGTTTAAGCCCTATCTGGTTTTATAGCCAGTGTTTAAGCCCTATCTGGTTTTATAGCCAGTGTTTAAGCCCTATCTGGTTCTATAGCCAGTGTGCCCTATCTGGTTCTATAGCCAGTGTTTAAGCCCTATCTGGTTTTATAGCCAGTGTGCCCTATCTGGTTTTATAGCCAGTGTGCCCTATCTGGTTCTATAGCCAGTGTGCCCTATCTGGTTCTATAGCCAGTGTGCCCTATCTGGTTCTATAGCCAGTGTGCCCTATCTGGTTCTATAGCCAGTGTTTAAGCCCTATCTGGTTTTATAGCCAGTGTTTAAGCCCTATCTGGTTCTATAGCCAGTGTGCCCTATCTGGTTCTATAGCCAGTGTGCCCTATCTGGTTCTATAGCCAGTGTTTAAGCCCTATCTGGTTTTATAGCCAGTGTTTAAGCCCTATCTGGTTTTATAGCCAGTGTGTCCTATCTGGTTTTATAGCCAGTGTTTAAGCCCTATCTGGTTCTATAGCCAGTGTTTAAGCCCTATCTGGTTCTATAGCCAGTGTGTCCTATCTGGTTTTATAGCCAGTGTTTAAGCCCTATCTGGTTTTATAGCCAGTGTTTAAGCCCTATCTGGTTCTATAGCCAGTGTGCCCTATCAGTGGACAGGGCAGGTTATATGATGACATGTGGAGAAGACCAATATCATTTTGATTTGATAATTGGCAGCCAAGCTTTGATCATCACCATCCATCACTTAACCACCATGAAGCTCATCACCATCCATCACTTAACCACCATGAAATCATCATCATCATCATCACTTAACCACCATGTAACTTATCACCGTCCATTTTTAACCACCATGAAACTCATCATCATCCATCACTTAACCACCATGAAGCTCATCATCATCCATCACTTAACCACCATGTAACTTATCACCGTCCATCACTTAACCACCATGAAACTCATCATCATCATCCATCACTTAACCACCATGAAGCTCATCATCATCCATCACTTAACCACCGTGAAGCTCATCATCATCATCCATCACTTAACCACTGTGAAACTCATCACCATCCATCACTTAACCACCATGAAGCTCATCACTGTCCATCACTTAACCACCATGAAGCTCATCACCGTCCATCACTTAACCACCATGAAGCTCATCACCGTCCATCACTTAACCACCATGAAGCTCATCATCATCCATCACTTAACCACCATGAAGCTCATCATCATCCATCACTTAACCACTGTGAAACTCATCACCATCCATCACTTAACCACCATGAAGCTCATCATCATCCATCACTTAACCACCATGAAGCTCGTCATCATCCATCACTTAACCACCATGAAGCTCATCACCATCATCCATCACTTAACCACCATGAAACTCATCACTGTCCATCACTTAACCACCATGAAACTCATCATCATCATCCATCCCTTAACCACCATGAAACTCATCACATCCATCACTTAACCACCATGAAACTCATCACTGTCATCACTTAACCACCATGAAACTCATCATCATCATCCATCCCTTAACCACCATGAAACTCATCACCATCCATCACTTAACCACCATGAAGCTCATCACTGTCCATCACTTAACCACCATGAAACTCATCACCATCCATCACTTAACCACCATGAAACTCATCATCATCCATCACTTAACCACCATGAAGCTCATCACCATCCATCACTTAACCACCATGAAGCTCATTATCATCATCCATCACTTAACCACCATGAAACTCATCATCATCCATCCCTTAACCACCATGAAGCTCATCATCATCCATCACTTAACCACCATGAAGCTCATCACCGTCATCACTTAACCACCATGAAGCTCATCACCGTCCATCACTTAACCACCATGAAGCTCATCATCATCCATCACGTAACCACCATGAAGCTCATCATCATCCATCACTTAACCACCATGAAGCTCATCATCATCCATCACTTAACCACCATGAAACTCATCACATCCATCACTTAACCACCATGAAGCTCATCACCATCACTTAACCACCATGAAACTCATCACCATCATCACTTAACCACCATGAAACTCATCACCGTCCATCACTTAACCACCATGAAGCTCATCACCATCATCACTTAACCACCATGAAGCTCATCACCATCTTCACTTAACCACCATGAAGCTCATCACCATCCATCACTTAACCACCATGAAACTCATCACCGTCCATCACTTAACCACCATGAAGCTCATCACCATCATCACTTAACCACCATGAAGCTCATCACCATCTTCACTTAACCACCATGAAGCTCATCACCATCATCACTTAACCACCATGAAGCTCATCACCATCTTCACTTAACCACCATGAAGCTCATCACCATCCATCACTTAAACACCTCTGAATGCTTTTCCACGTCGTAGTAGTAGTTCAACGTAGCATATAATGGTGTGACTCCAAAGTTTACTTCAATATACTGAACAAATATATACACTGCATTCGGAAAGTATTCAGACACCTTCCCTTTTTCCACATTTTGTTGCGTTACAGCCTTAATCTAAAATTGATTAAATAATGTTTTCCCCTCATCAATCCACACAATACCCCATAATGACAAAGGGAAAACAGGTTTATAGAAATGTTTGCAAATGTATTAAGAATAAAAAACAGAAATACCTTATTTACATAATAAGTATTCAGACCATTTGCTATGAGACTCGAAATTGAGCTCAGGTGCATCCTGTTTCCGTTGATCATCCTTGAGATGTTTCTACAACTTGATTGGAGTCCACCTGTGGTAAATTAAGTTGATTGGACATGATTTGGAAAGGCACACACCTGTCTATATAAGGTCCCACAGTTGACAGTACATGTCAGAGAAAAAACCAAGCCATGCGGTAGAAGGAATTGTTCGTAGAGCTCCGAGACAGGATTGTGTGGAGGCGCAGATCTGGGGAAGGGTACCAAAAACTTTCTGCAGCATTGAAGATCACCAAGAACACAGTTGCCTCCATCATTCTTAAAGGGAAGAAGTTTGGAACCACCAAGACTCTTCTTAGAGCTGGCTGCCCGGCCAAACTGAGCAATCGGGGGAGAAGGGCCTTGGTCAGGGAGGTGACCAAGAACCCCATAGTCACTCTGACAGAGCTCCAGAGTTCCTCTGTGGAGATGGGAGAACCTTCCAGAAGGACAACCATCTCTGCAGCACTCCACCAATCAGGCCTTTATGGTAGAGTGACCAGACGGAAGCCACTCCTCAGTAAAAGGCACGACAGCCCGCTTGGAGTTTGCCAAAAGGCACCTAAAGGACTCTCAGACTATGAGAAACAAGATTCTCTGGTCTGATGAAACCAAGACTGAACTCTTTGGCCTGAATACCAAGCGTCACGTCAGGAGGAAACCTGGCACCATCCCTACGGTGAAGCATGGTGTTGGCAGCATCATGCTGTGGGGATGTTTTTCAGCGCCAGGGACTTGGAGACTAGTCAGGATCGAGGGAAAGATGAACGGAGCAAAGTACAGAGAGATCCTTGATGAAAACCTGCTCCAGAGCGCTCAGGACCTCAGACTGGGGCGAAGGTTCACCTTCCAACAGGACAACGACCCTAAGCACACAGCCAAGACAATGCAGGAGTGGCTTCGGGACAAGCCTCTGAATGTGAGTGGCCCAGCCAGAGACCGGACTTGAACCCGATCGAACATCTCTGGAGAGACCAGAAAATATCTGTGCAGCGACGCTCCCCATCCAACCTGACAGAGCTTGAGAGGATCTGCGGAGAAGAATGGGAGAAACTCCCCAAATACAGGTGTGCCAAGCTTGTAGCGTCATACCCAAGAAGACTCGAGGCTGTAATTGCTGTCAAAGGTGCTTCAACAAAGTACTGAGTAAATGGTCTGAATACTTATGTAAATGTAATATTTCAGTTTTTTATTTTTAATACATTTGCACATTTCTAAAAAACTGTTTTTGTTTTGTCATTATGGGGTATTGTGTGTAGATTGATGAGGGGAGAAAAATGCATCTATTTTAGAATAAGGCTGTAACGTAACAAAATTGGAAAAAGACGAGGGGACTGAATACATTCCGAATGCACTGTAAATGCAACACGCAGCAATTTCAAAGAACACCTCCCAAGATCTCCAACATGCCAGTGTCCATCGAAGGTGAGCATTTGCCCACATTTGCCCACAGTTACGACGCCGAACTGCAGTCAGGTCAAGACCCTGGTGAGGACGACGAGCTTCTCCGAAACGGATTCTGACAGTTTGTGCAGAAGTTCTTCCGTTGTGCAAACCCACAGTTTCATCAGCTGTCCTGGTGGCTGGTCTCAGATTATCCCGCAGGTGAAGAAGCAGGATGTGGAGGTCCTGGGCTGGCGTGGTTACACGTGGTCTGCGGTTGTGAGGCCGGTTGGACGTACTGCCAAATTCTCTATAACGACGTTGGAGGCGGCTTATGGTAGAGAAATGAACATGCAATTCTCTGGCGGCAACAGCTCTGGTGGACATTCCTGCAGTCAGCATGCCAATTACACACTCCCTCAAAACTTGAGGCATCTGTGGTATTGTGTTGTGTGACAAAACTGCACACTTTAAAGTGGCCTTTTATTGTCCCCAGCACAAGGTGCACCTGTGTAATGATCATGCTGTTTAATCAGCTTCTTGATATGCCACACCTGTTAGGTGGATGGATTATCTTGGTAAAGGAGAAATGCTCACTAACAGGGATGTAAACAAATTTGTGCACCAAACTTTAGAGAAATAAGCTTTTTGTGCTAATGGAAATGTTCGGGTCTCTTTTATTTCAGCTCATGAAACATGGGACCAACACTTTACATGTTGCGTTTATAGTTTTGTTCAGTATATATCAATATTTGCATATAAAGGAGTTTCCACCACACTTGTTGCATAATTAATTTTACTGTCTGTCGACATTTGTGAAATTGTACCTACACTTTGTGTTTCCATCACACCTGTGTTGATATGGTATGACTTTACAGACAAATCAACTATGGAAGGAAGCAGAGCGATAGTGGAGGGATTATTCTGTCTCTGCTCTTTCAGGATTATTCTGTCTCTCCTCCTCTGCTCTTTCAGGATTATTCTGTCTCTGCTCTTTGAGGATTATTCTGTCTCTGCTCTGCTCTTTGAGGATTATTCTGTCTCTCCTCCTCTGCTCTTTGAGGATTATTCTGTCTCTGCTCTGCTCTTTCATGATTATTCTGTCTCTCCTCCTCTGCTCTTTGAGGATTATTCTGTCTCTCCTCCTCTGCTCTTTGAGGATTATTCTGTCTCTCCTCCTCTGCTCTTTGAGGATTATTCTGTCTCTCCTCCTCTGCTCTTTGAGGATTATTCTGTCTCTCCTCCTCTGCTCTTTGAGGATTATTCTGTCTCTCCTCCTCTGCTCTTTGAGGATTATTCTGTCTCTCCTCCTCTGCTCTTTCAGGATTATTCTGTCTCTCCTCCTCTGCTCTTTTAGGATTATTCTGTCTCTCCTCCTCTGCTCTTTGAGGATTATTCTGTCTCTCCTCCTCTGCTCTTTGAGGATTATTCTGTCTCCTCTGTCCATCTCCTTCTCTACTGTTCTTCGCCAGGTTTCTTTTGGGCGATATACGATTGTATGATGTAGCTAGCTAGTTTGACCTATACAGTGTATGGTTTGACATATTGTCAATGTAATCAAGCTAACAAATGTATTATTAGGTACGTTGGCGAGTTTAGCCATCTAGCTAAAATCTAATTGGTTAAATTGTTCCAACCTCAAAAGCACTCAAATGCATTCATGACGTCTTCACCACCTGGCTACGTTCCTGAACAGCGTCTGAACACACCATAAACTCCTCCCACTGCGGTCTACCTCCTCCCACCTCAACTGTAACTCCTCCCACCTCAACTGTAACTCCTCCCACCTCAACTGTAACTCCTCTCACCTCAACAGTAACTCCTCCCACCTCAACTGTAACTCCTCCTACCTCAGCTGTAACTCCTCCCACCACACTGCACCACTTTAGTCACATGCATCCCAGCACATATAAAATGTTTGGTATCGTGGAATGTGTTTCTGGACGATGGACGATGGCATGTTGTCGTATAGATCAGGAAGTATGACCATTAGACAACTTCTAACCTTTACATTATGATCCTTACCCCCGATAACATCAAGACGACAGAGAAACGCATTAAATGAAAGACCATATTGTATAGTGTGTAACTGGAGTTAGACTGATGTCCTGACCGTGTGTGTAACGAAGGTCCATACACAGCAAATTCCGATCGGTAAATTGAACACCAGAAAGAACACTTTGGAAATGTCGATTTATCAGGGGATCTGTAGCTCCTCCTTCCCTGAGATTCTATCAGGAAATAGATTACCTTCCCTGAGATTCTATCAGGAAATAGATGACCTTCCCTGAGATTCTATCAGGAAATAGATTACCTTCCCTGAGATTCTATCAGGAAATAGATGACCTTCCCTGAGATTCTATCAGGAAATAGATGACCTTCCCTGAGATTCTATCAGGAAATAGATGACCTTCCCTGAGATTCTATCAGGAAATAGATGACCTTCCCTGAGATTCTATCAGGAAATAGATGACCTTCCCTGAGATTCTATCAGGAAATAGATGACCTTCCCTGAGATTCCATCAGGAAATAGATGACCTTCCCTGAGATTCTATCAGGAAATAGATGACCTTCCCTGAGATTCTATCAGGAAATAGATGACCTTCCCTGAGATTCCATCAGGAAATAGATGACCTTCCCTGAGATTCTATCAGGAAATAGATGACCTTCCCTGAGATTCCATCAGGAAATAGATGACCTTCCCTGAGATTCCATCAGGAAATAGATGACCTTCCCTGAGATTCCATCAGGAAATAGATTACCTTCCCTGAGATTCTATCAGGAAATAGATGACCTTCCCTGTGATTCTATCAGGAAATAGATGACCTTCCCTGAGATTCTATCAGGAAATAGATGAAGTGCAATGCTGGAGAGATGAGTTGCAGGCTCATGTCTATCATTAACAAAGAGGCAACTCCAATGAACTTTGATCACTTTTATTACAATATCTACATTGTGAAAATAATTGTTCATGCCATGAGAGGTACCGGAACGAGACAGTCCAAAATGGAGAGGTGCCGGATCCTGTTCCCTTTTAACACACAGTGTACATTTCCTAACACTAATGGTGTAGATATTGAACACCAACTTTTGAGTGTTGTCCAACTGATACTTTCCAACACCACACAGCAAATTCACCAGTGTTAAATTAAACACTGGTCCAGTGTCTAAATGGGTCCACACTTTTCAGTGTTAAATTAACACACTGCTTCGTGCAATGCCTTATTTGCATATTTCCCAAAGTGCAATGTACATGCAAAAACACAGATATTGAAACAAATCATTCTAAAAATCAACCTGCAGTGGAGCATTCTGGGTAATATGATAATGATGAGCGTGATTTTGAGTGTTGCCTGTGTTAACACGGCAACATCCTGATTGAACATCAGTATTTTTAGGATATGAAAAACAGTTGGTGTTCATAGTTAGATTAGTTATACAAAGTGACACCAAAACTGCTTACATCAGGATATGAACACTGGTGATGTTGCTGTGTACAGCGCAGCAGGATGTTGTGAAGTGAAGTATGGTACTGTTGTGGCTGTGGTGTCGGCAGGGTCAGGTCAGGGTCAGGTCAGGGTCAGGGTAAGGTCAGGGTCAGGTCAGGGTCAGGTAAGGTCAGGGTCAGGTCAGGGTCAGGGTAAGGTCAGGGTCAGGGTCAGGTCAGGGTCAGGGTCAGGTCAGGTCAGGGTCAGGTCAGGGTCAGGTCAGGGTAAGGTCAGGGTCAGGTCAGGGTCAGGTCAGGGTCAGGTCAGGTCAGGGTCAGGGTAAGGTCAGGGTCAGGTCAGGGTCAGGTCAGGGTCAAGGTCAGGTCAGGGTCAGGGTCAGGGTTAAGGTGATTAAGTATTTGGGTTAAGCCTAATTTCCATTTACACACCGTTTGCTCGGTCGCCTTGAAACAAAATGATGTAATATTGAACGTCTGCTCCCATCCGCACATTTCCGCGTGGACTCTGAAATCTCTGCGGGAGCTGAAATGTCTTGAGTCAATAAGTAGTCAATAAAAAAACAAAACAAAAAACAAGTATTCAACCCCTTTTGTTATGGCAAGCCTAAATAAGTTCAGGAGTAAAAATGTGCTTAAAAAGTCACATAATAAGTTGCATGGACTCACTCTGTGTGCAATAATAGTGTTTGACATGATTTTTGAATGACTACCTCATCTCTGTACCCAACACATACACTACCTCATCTCTGTACCCAACACATACACTACCTCATCTCTGTACCCAACACATACACTACCTCATCTCTGTACCCAACACATACACTACCTCATCTCTGTACCCAACACATACACTACCTCATCTCTGTACCCAACACATACACTACCTCATCTCTGTACGCAACACATACACTACCTCATCTCTGTACCCAACACATACACTACCTCATCTCTGTACCCAACACATACACTACCTCATCTCTGTACCCAACACATACACTACCTCATCTCTGTACCCAACACATACACTACCTCATCTCTGTACCCAACACATACACTCATCTGAAAGGGCCCTCAGTCGAGCAGTGTTTCAAGTTTCAGGTTTTAAGTTCCAAGTTTAAATGTCACGTGCACCAGTACAGTGAAATGCCTTTCTTGCAAACTCAAAACCCAACAATGCAATAATCAATAACAAAGTATTACTAGAAAAAAACACGAGAAATAAGAATAGAAAATATGAAATACACAATAAAGTAAGTAAGTAAGCAACTATATACAGGAAATATTTAGTCAGTTCAATACCATATTAACAATGTGCAGGGATACTGGAGTGATGGAGGTAGATATGTATAGGGGTAAGGTGACTATATACAGGGTCAGTTCCAGTACCATATTAACAATGTGCAGGGATACTGGAGTGATGGAGGTAGATATGTATAGGGGTCAGGTGACTATATACAGGGTCAGTTCCAGTACCATATTAACAATGTGCAGGGATACTGGAGTGATGGAGGTAGATATGTATAGGGGTCAGGTGACTATATACAGGGTCAGTTCCATACCATATTAACAATGTGCAGGGATACTGGAGTGATGGAGGTAGATATGTATAGGGGTAAGGTGACTATATACAGGGTCAGTTCCAGTACCATATTAACAATGTGCAGGGATACTGGAGTGATGGAGGTAGATATGTATAGGGGTCAGGTGACTATATACAGGGTCAGTTCCAGTACCATATTAACAATGTGCAGGGATACTGGAGTGATGGAGGTAGATATGTATAGGGGTCAGGTGACTATATACAGGGTCAGTTCCATACCATATTAACAATGTGCAGGGATACTGGAGTGATGGAGGTAGATATGTATAGGGGTCAGGTGACTATATACAGGGTCAGTTCCATACCATATTAACAATGTGCAGGGATACTGGAGTGATGGAGGTAGATATGTATAGGGGTCAGGTGACTACATACCGGGTCAGTGCTTTCAAAGCACTTCATGATCACAGCAGTGATGCTACAGGGCGGTAGTCATGGTGGCATGAAGCCTTAGAGTTGTTGGGAACAGGAATGATGGTGGCCATCTTAAAAATGGGGATTACAGACTGGGACAAGGAGAGGTTGGAAATGACTGGGAATATACCTGCCAGCTGGTCTGCTCTGAGACTGGGAATATACCTGCCAGCTGGTCTGCTCTGAGACTGGGAATATACCTTCCAGCTGGTCTGCTCTGAGACTGGGAATATACCTGCCAGCTGGTCTGCTCTGAGACTGGGAATATACCTTCCAGCTGGTCTGCTCTGAGACTGGGAATATACCTTCCAGCTGGTCTGCTCTGAGACTGGGAATATACCTTCCAGCTGGTCTGCGTACGATCTGAGACTGGGAATATACCTGCCAGCTGGTCTGCGTACGCTCTGAGACTGGGAATATACCTGCCAGCTGGTCTGCGTACGCTCTGAGACTGGGAATATACCTGCCAGCTGGTCTGCGTACGCTCTGAGACTGGGAATATACCTGCCAGCTGGTCTGCGTACGCTCTGAGACTGGGAATATACCTGCCAGCTGGTCTGCGTACGCTCTGAGACTGGGAATATACCTGCCAGCTGGTCTGCGTACGCTCTGAGACTGGGAATATACCTGCCAGCTGGTCTGCGTATGCTCTGAGACTGGGAATATACCTGCCAGCTGTTCTGCGCATGCTGTGAGACTGGGAATATACCTGCCAGCTGGTCTGCTCTGAGACTGGGAATATACCTGCCAGCTGGTCTGCTCTGAGACTGGGAATATACCTGCCAGCTGTTCTGCGTACGCTCTGAGACTGGGAATATACCTGCCAGCTGGTCTGCGTACGCTCTGAGACTGGGAATATACCTGCCAGCTGTTCTGCGCATGCTCTGAGACTGGGAATATACCTGCCAGCTGGTCTGCTCTGAGACCGGGAATATACCTGCCAGCTGGTCTGCTCTGAGACTGGGAATATGCCTGCCAGCTGTTCTGCTCTGAGACTGGGAATACGCCTGCCAGCTGGTCTGCTCTGAGACTGGGAATACGCCTTCCAGCTGGTCTGCTCTGAGACTGGGAATACGCCTTCCAGCTGGTCTGCTCTGAGACTGGGAATACGCCTGCCAGCTGTTCTACGCATGCTCTGAGAACGCGCCCTGGTGGCTGCATCATGTTATGGGTATGCTCTGAGACTGGGAATATGCCTGCCAGCTGTTCTACGCATGCTCTGAGAACGCACCCTGGTGGCTGCATCATGTTATGGGTATGCTCTGAGACTGGGAATATACCTGCCAGCTGTTCTGCGTACGCTCTGAGAACGCGCCCTGGTGGCTGCATCATGTTATGGGTATGCTCTGAGACTGGGAATATACCTGCCAGCTGGTCTGCGTACGCTCTGAGACTGGGAATATACCTGCCAGCTGGTCTGCGTACGCTCTGAGACTGGGAATATACCTGCCAGCTGGTCTGCGTACGCTCTGAGACTGGGAATATACCTGCCAGCTGGTCTGCGTACGCTCTGAGACTGGGAATATACCTGCCAGCTGGTCTGCGTACGCTCTGAGACTGGGAATATACCTGCCAGCTGGTCTGCGTACGCTCTGAGACTGGGAATATACCTGCCAGCTGGTCTGCGTACGCTCTGAGACTGGGAATATACCTGCCAGCTGTTCTGCGCATGCTCTGAGACTGGGAATATACCTGCCAGCTGGTCTGCTCTGAGACCGGGAATATACCTGCCAGCTGGTCTGCTCTGAGACTGGGAATATACCTGCCAGCTGTTCTGCTCTGAGACTGGGAATACGCCTGCCAGCTGGTCTGCTCTGAGACTGGGAATACGCCTTCCAGCTGGTCTGCTCTGAGACTGGGAATACGCCTTCCAGCTGGTCTGCTCTGAGACTGGGAATACGCCTGCCAGCTGTTCTACGCATGCTCTGAGAACGCGCCCTGGTGGCTGCATCATGTTATGGGTATGCTCTGAGACTGGGAATATGCCTGCCAGCTGTTCTACGCATGCTCTGAGAACGCACCCTGGTGGCTGCATCATGTTATGGGTATGCTCTGAGACTGGGAATATACCTGCCAGCTGTTCTGCGTACGCTCTGAGAACGCGCCCTGGTGGCTGCATCATGTTATGGGTATGCTCTGAGACTGGGAATATACCTGCCAGCTGGTCTGCGTACGCTCTGAGACTGGGAATATACCTGCCAGCTGGTCTGCGTACGCTCTGAGACTGGGAATATACCTGCCAGCTGGTCTGCGTACGCTCTGAGACTGGGAATATACCTGCCAGCTGGTCTGCGTACGCTCTGAGACTGGGAATATACCTGCCAGCTGGTCTGCGTACGCTCTGAGACTGGGAATATACCTGCCAGCTGGTCTGCGTACGCTCTGAGACTGGGAATATACCTGCCAGCTGGTCTGCGTACGCTCTGAGACTGGGAATATACCTGCCAGCTGTTCTGCGCATGCTCTGAGACTGGGAATATACCTGCCAGCTGGTCTGCTCTGAGACTGGGAATATACCTGCCAGCTGGTCTGCTCTGAGACTGGGAATATACCTGCCAGCTGTTCTGCGTACGCTCTGAGACTGGGAATATACCTGCTAGCTGGTCTGCGTACGCTCTGAGACTGGGAATATACCTGCCAGCTGTTCTGCGCATGCTCTGAGACTGGGAATATACCTGCCAGCTGGTCTGCTCTGAGACTGGGAATATACCTGCCAGCTGGTCTGCTCTGAGACTGGGAATATACCTGCCAGCTGTTCTGCTCTGAGACTGGGAATACGCCTGCCAGCTGGTCTGCTCTGAGACTGGGAATACGCCTTCCAGCTGGTCTGCTCTGAGACTGGGAATACGCCTTCCAGCTGGTCTGCTCTGAGACTGGGAATACGCCTGCCAGCTGTTCTACGCATGCTCTGAGAACGCGCCCTGGTGGCTGCATCATGTTATGGGTATGCTCTGAGACTGGGAATATGCCTGCCAGCTGTTCTACGCATGCTCTGAGAACGCACCCTGGTGGCTGCATCATGTTATGGGTATGCTCTGAGACTGGGAATATACCTGCCAGCTGTTCTGCGTACGCACTGAGAACGCGCCCTGGTGGCTGCATCATGTTATGGGTATGCTCTGAGACTGGGAATATGCCTGCCAGCTGTTCTACGCATGCTCTGAGAACGCACCCTGGTGGCTGCATCATGTTATGGGTATGCTCTGAGACTGGGAATATACCTGCCAGCTGTTCTGCGTACGCTCTGAGAACGCGCTCTGGTGGCTGCATCATGTTATGGGTATGCTCTGAGACTGGGAATATACCTACCAGCTGTTCTGCGTACGCTCTGAGAACGCGCCCTGGTGGCTGCATCATGTTATGGGTATGCTCTGAGACTGGGAATATACCTGCCAGCTGGTCTGCACATGCTCTGAGAACGCACCCTGGTGGCTGCATCATGTTATGGGTATGCTCTGAGACTGGGAATATACCTACCAGCTGTTCTGCGTACGCTCTGAGAACGCACCCTGGTGGCTGCATCATGTTATGGGTATGCTCTGAGACTGGGAATATACCTACCAGCTGTTCTGCGTACGCTCTGAGAACGCGCCCTGGTGGCTGCATCATGTTATGGGTATGCTCTGAGACTGGGAATATGCCTGCCAGCTGGTCTGCGCATGCTCTGAGAACGCCCCCTGGTGGCTGCATCATGTTATGGGTATGCTCTGAGACTGGGAATATACCTGCCAGCTGGTCTGCACATGCTCTGAGAACGCACCCTGGTGGCTGCATCATGTTATGGGTATGCTCTGAGACTGGGAATATGCCTACCAGCTGTTCTGCGTACGCTCTGAGAACGCGCCCTGGTGGCTGCATCATGTTATGGGTATGCTCTGAGATTGGGAATATACCTGCCAGCTGTTCTACGCATGCTCTGAGAACGCGCCCTGGTGGCTGCATCATGTTATGGGTATGCTCTGAGACTGGGAATATACCTGCCAGCTGGTCTGCGCATGCTCTGAGAACGCACCCTGGTGGCTGCATCATGTTATGGGTATGCTCTGAGACTGGGAATATACCTACCAGCTGTTCTGCGTACGCTCTGAGAACGCGCCCTGGTGGCTGCATCATGTTATGGGTATGCTCTGAGACTGGGAATATACCTACCAGCTGTTCTGCGCATGCTCTGAGAACGCGCCCTGGTGGCTGCATCATGTTATGGGTATGCTCTGAGACTGGGAATATGCCTACCAGCTGTTCTGCGCATGCTCTGAGAACGCGCCCTGGTGGCTGCATCATGTTATGGGTATGCTCTGAGACTGGGAATATGCCTGCCAGCTGGTCTGCGCATGCTCTGAGAACGCGCCCTGGTGGCTGCATCATGTTATGGGTATGCTTGTCATCGGCAAGGACTAGGACTTCTTTTGTACCCAAAGAAACGGAATAGAGCTAAGCACAGGGAGAATCCTAGAGGAAGACCTGGTTCAACCTAAAACACAAGGCCAAATATACACTGGAGTTTCTTACCAAGACAACTTTGAATGTTCTTGAGTGGCCTAGTTACAGTTTTAACTTAAATGGGCCTGAAAATCTATGGCAACACTAGAAAATGGCTGTCTAGCAATGATCAACAACCAAGTTGATAGAGGTTAAAGAATGTGTAAAATAATTATATGTAAATATTGTTCAATCCAGGTGTGGAAAGCTCTTAGAGACTTACCCAGAAAGACTCACATCTGTAATCACTGCCAAGGTGATTCTAACATGTACTGACTCAAGAGGTTCAATACTTATGTAATGAAGATATTTGATTTTTCATATATATAGTTTATCTTCCACTTTGACATTATATTATTTTGTGTAGATCGTTGACCCCCCCAAAAAAGACAATTAAAACCTCTAAAAGTATTATTATTATTATTTTGGGGGGAGGGGGGGGGTATTCTACTAAGCTAACATATGGAATTGTTTTAAGATGGTCATACCATGGATCATTTAGCTATTTGATTTTTAATTTTAGGACCCCTTTCAGGTATTGACAAATGTTACAAAAGTATTATTATTTTGATAAAATATTGACTTTGGCCTTTAATACTATAGCCCATAGAAATGATTTGAACAACACCTTCATCAATGGCCAAAAAGACAGTCAAAAGATAAATCATAAAGAATAAGGTTTTGAAGTGTCTGTCCTTTATCCAGGAGACATAAGAAAGATCAGGAAATATATATACAGCACCAGTCAAAAGTTTGGGGTCACTTAGAAATGTCCTTGTTTTCGAAAGAAAAGCAATTTTTTTGTCCATTAAAATAACATCAAATTGATCAGAAATACAGTGTAGACATTGTTAATGTTATAAATGGCTATTGTAGCTGGAAATGGCTGATTTTTAATGGAATATCTACATAGGCATACAGAGGCCCATTATCAGCAACCATCAATCCTGTGTTCCAATGGCACGTTGTGTTTGCTAATCCAAGTTTATCATTTTAAAAGGCTAATTGATCATTAGAAAACCCTTTTGCAATTATGTTAGAACAGCTGAAAACTGTTCTGCTGATTAAAGAAGCAATACAACTGGCCTTCTTGAGACTAGTTGAGTATCTGGAGCATCAGCAATTGTGGGTTCGATTACAGGCTCAAAATGGCCAGAAACAAATAACTTTCTTCTGAAACTCGTCAGTCTATTCTTGTTCTGAGAAATGAAGGCTATTCCATGCGAGAAATTGCCAAGAAACTGAAGATCTTGTACAACGCTGTGTACTACTCCCTTCACAGAACAGCGCAAACTGGCTCTAACCAGAATAGAAAGAGGAGTGGGAGGCCCTGGTGCACAATTGAGCAAGAGGACAAATACATTAGAGTGAAACAGACGCCTCACAGGTCCTCAACTGGCAGCTTCATTAAATAGTACCCGCAAAACACCAGTCTCAACGTCAACAGTGAAGAGGCGACTCCGGGATGCTGACCTTCTAGGCAGAGTTGCAAAGAAAAAGTCCAGTGTCTGTGTTCTTTTGCCCAACTTAATCTTTTATTTTTATTGGCCAGTCTGTGATATGGCTTTTTCTTTGCAACTCTGAAGGTTTCTTTTGAAACAAGGACATTTCTAAGTGACCCCAAACATTTGAACGGTAGTGTATATTTTTTATGACAAAGGATTTAACCCATTATTTTTGGGGGCACCAAACTACCTCCATGCTTCCATTCATTTGTATGGGTTACGTTCAGACGAGTTGGGGGTTGTTACCTTTAGAGGAGGGGGGTTGTAGAGCAAAACGGAGAGTCTCCAATTTCCTGAGTGGGGTCATATTAGTTCCAAACCGTTCGGGCGCTACAGATGTTTTCGTGAGAAGTCCGATTTTCGGGATGTCTCACGGTCTGACAAGCATCGCTCTAGCTCGAAAAGCATCTCTCTGGCTCGGAAAGCATCTCTCTGGCTCGAAAAGCATCTCTCTGGCTCGGAAAGCATCTCTCTGGCTCGGAAAGCATCGCTCTGGCTCGGAAAGCATCTCTCTAGCTCGGAAAGCATCTCTCTGGCTCGGAAAGCATCACTCTAGCTCGGAAAGCATCTCTCTGGCTCGGAAAGCATCGC